ATAGGGCACAAGGCTAGACTACACCCTACACAGGATGACAGTCCATTGCAAATCACAGACACACACAGTTGTACACTGGGGGCAATTGAGACACCAATTAGCTTAACTGCATACCTATAGATTGTAGGTAAAATCTGCAGGACACACACACAGAGCACAGGTGGGATTTGAACCCCTTACCCTGCAGGTGTGAGGTACAATAAGACCCACTGAAGACTGTATCCTTTATTTTATTTTATTTTTTTGCATTTTAATAGGAAATGGGGGAGGGGAATTCAATTACACGTGCAGCAGAACCCAAATACAAATCACTGATTGCAAATACACCTGTTAAAAGAGATCATTTTGAGTCAACTCATTATGGATAATTGGGTGATTATCGTGGCCGAACTCATCTCAGGATGACATCATAAACGGCAGCATTCCAGACTGTGCAAACATTCAGATGCACGTCTTATGGCCGTTGTTTATATGTCCTGAATGTTGTCACTGATATCATCTTGATTTATGCAGTCAAACATCTGGGGACTTTTGCAGAAATGTCATGTATGGGTAATGCCTTGCATGATCTGCGATGTTTTGGGAATTGTAGTAATAATTATGCATTTGCAGTATGCAGACGCACGTTAGCGATATTGCTGTGGTGAAAGTGAAAGTCTTTTTATGTTTACACGTTGCTTAGCAAGAATGTTAGTTGTCCCTATTAAAGATAGAAAACAGCCAGCCCTTGTTGTTCTATTCCTTTTAGTATGCATAATGTAATTTTCTGATTTCTTGTGAAGTTGGGTGTTTGTGAAAGAGAAAAATTAATTGACATGCATGTTTGATATTTATTTTGGTTGGCGATTCTTATGAACTTGTCTGAAATGTTTGGCAAGACCTGAGCAATATTGCTGCCCTTCTGTCGACTGGCCTGCCGGTGACGCATTGATCAAAAGAATGTAGTGACCTTTGCTGTTTGAGATTCTCCCACTAAGCCCCTCACGGAAGCTGCCGTCATCTGATTCATTGTTAGCTTACGAACGGCCAATCGGAAGAAACTCTGGACCACTGAGAACATGAAAAATTGCTGCTGTTTATTACCAATGCTCTCCTCGTCGTTTAGCATTGTTTGTACAGCCAAAAACCATTCATGGCTTGTTTATAGCTAGCATGCTAGCATGACTTTTAGCAAGACCAAAGGTCCAGGATTTGTGCTTCATACACCAGATAATGTACCTTTGTACATTGGCCAAATATCAACCCTAACACACACACACACACACACACATATATATATATATATATATATATATATATTTTTTTTTTTTTTCCTGTTTTGTCAGTGTACTGTTCCTTTTAAAACTGGGTCATTCACTTGCTGCTTTAGTTCTCTGGTACATTTCCAGGCTGTACTCTTGTGGTGTTTGGACATTGTCTATCACGAAAAGTGTCCGTCCCACTTAACATATTAATTTTGTGATTTTTGCATTTCTCCACTTCTGAATTTTGCTAGTTGCATCACGTTGCTCTGAAATACCGACCTATCAAAGCGCTGATTGTATAGCTGGCGTCTCCTACTGCTAACTGGCTTCCAACGTAATGCAAATCACCTTTGTAGCTGTTTATATTTTAGCTTTAGTTCCTTTGTATGTGTTGCTTCCCTTATTTTGTTCACCCTGTACGTTGACACACATTGCGTGTTGGAGTAAACCAACTTGTTGATCCTCGATTCAGATATACTTATCGAAACCTTGTAGGAAATATTTTAATAAGACAGTTATTAAGGTATTAGCACGAAACCGGTGGCCGATAGTTATAAGAAGCCATGGATTGATGTGCGTCTCTGGTGTAGAAAGGATGGACATAAACAGGGTCCGGTCTCAGCTGCTGACCTTGTGTGATGCAGATCTCAGCCATGAACTCAACTGTACGACAAAAACAGTTTAGTTGGAAAGTGCAGCTGCATCCGGTTATTTTGAGTCTTATTTTGAGTGGTTGTGCATCAGTTTTTTTAATATAAGATTTATGTATTTAAATATTGTATATTTAAAGACTTTAATAATGTGCAGTAGCTGTGCATTATTTATTTTAAATTGCTTCAGCTCATTCGTAGCTACAAGCCCTGTAACGCAAATTCTCTAAAGTCTTGCAATACCTACTTTGCCACCTTCCGTTACGTGGGGTTTTCCCTTAAACATAATTTTTATATTGTTACATAGCTGAAGAGTTTAACCCATTGATCAGTAACTTGTGGACTGTTCTCTGCTAGTTACATATACTGATTTAATTTAAGTCAAGCGCAAATTGTGAACATGCATGCTGCATTATGATTTAATGTGAGGTGCTTTTCTCATTTCGGTTGCTGTGATTTGTTTGCTCGTGATACTAATTGTTAAATGCCACTTCATTTGTGTTGACCTCTTTTCCTTGTAACTGTTCAGATTGAAACTGTTATAGCTGTACCGAATTTTTTCTTCTTCTGAAGTAGAATTTTACAGCTTCCGATACAGTATCACCACCTGTCCCTTATCTTTTGAGTAACTAGCTTTTATTGCCTTGAAATGGAAAGGGGTACAGTAGATAAAGTAACGGTAGTCTGGCCCAAGTCACCTGGTTATTTGTAATAACACCCAGGTAGAGAGTATACGTTACATGAATGCATTTTGTTTAGACTAAACAAATACTTTACAGCGGTTCCTGGTTAAATTAAAGGTACACATCTCCATCTGGTGAAAATCTTGTGTATTGCATCTTGTAGGCGGACTTTTGTCCCAAACATACACGTAACATTTTAAAAACGATTGTTTGTTGAGATTTGTCCATTTGAAAAGGACAAATAATTATACAAGTTTGCTAAAGCAGCTTTCGTCTATTCCCACAATTGTGTTTATTGTGTTGCTTTTACTGGGTCTGGGGCTTTTTAAATAAATTACACGTGCGCCTCAGATTTTGACATCAAATATATTGCCTGGTTAAGCGAAAACAAACAAACAAACAAACAAACAGACAGACAGACAGACAGATATAAACATATGCACACCAATTCGTCAAAACTAAGTTCATAAGAAAGTAGGCCTATTAGTTGTTACAATTGTCATTCACTGAAAATCTCAGTATTCGTGTTCCAGCTGCATTTTAATCATCTTTAATTATACTAACCGCGACCGTCTACTAGATAAGCAAAGGTGGACAGATGGATAAACGGATATATCTAGTCTATGTATCTTTGGTTCAGTACGTAATACGCAGAAAATGTCTGAATTCAAGAAAGGTGGAACAACGTTTGCCGCTGTGTTTGAAATCCAGTGAAGTGGGATTTTCCTCCCTGCTTGTTTTAATGAGAATCTTTTGTTACGTTTATTTTATCTAAACGGTTTTATTCAAAGCCACGTACTTTTGCGAAATCAGGGTCAGCCAGTCTCCGGGGGCAATTTGGCCACCAAGGGCCCAAGGATAAAGTCACACTGTATTCTATAAATGTTGGGAATTGGTTACATGTTCGATAAACAGACGAAATAGAATTAGGATAATTATTCTTCGAGCCACGCGCTTTCAATAGTCGCTTATCCAGGTACAATCGAGGTCGATTTTATTTTTTACCGCAAATCGTGTTGTAAACCGTATTAATGCTGAATTTATCTGTGTGCTCTTTAGTCATTTTTCCGATTTTTTTTTTGTTAAAATTGTAAATTACAAACGAAACAAACAAAACGTCAAGTTCTTTTTGTGAAAAAGATGTTAGACGAATGACAGTAGAGTTTTAACAAAATAACATTCGTTATCTAATCCAGTTAATTTCCCTTTTCAAACAAAAAAAAAAAAATCAATGAAATTATGAAATACGTTAAAGATACGGTAAATATTAATTCAGTCTTTACTGAAACGAATACTATTTGACAACAAATTATAAATTAATAGTCGATGCTGTGAAGTGTTCTCGTGTCAGTTTCCGTAGTGTAGTGGTTATCACGTTCGCCTCACACGCGAAAGGTCCCCGGTTCGAAACCGGGCGGAAACATTTATTGGTTTTGAGCATGTCTTTGTTTCAAAACAGCCCAAAAGAAAAATTAACCTAAAGAAAGTTAAGTAGGTAGATAGACAGATGCTTTATTAATCCCAAAGGAAATGTATGTAACAGTTGTGTAAATCTATTTTCACATTTTTATGGACGGAATGGCCCCAGATGCAGTGTGGCTCTGCACTTTGGAGTTCCCCACTGCCAAGTTGCCAAGTGTTGCGGTTCCCCAATGATAACTTTCGGCGAGAAATGCATTTTACCGACCGGGGGGGAGGGGCGCATGGCCCCCCCAGAGAATGCCCCGTATGCCAGATGGCCAGTTCTGCCCTGTCTAGGGCCCCTATTGTTCCACTTGTTACAAGATATCTCTAGTATTGTATTGTACTTTTATACCATATGTATCTCTGCCGCTACATTATTACTAAATGCGTTCTCTCTATTTTACATGCAGTTAAATGTATATTTGTGGTCTAGATAGAGTATAGCACTACTGAAAACAATGGAGGTAATTCTTAGTGGTGGAGTATCTATCCATCCATCCACCCATCCATCCATTTGTCCTGTTCAGGGTCGCAGGGGTCCGGTGGTTCTACCGGTGGAGTGGAAAATCAGAAACGACAATTCGGATCTGAGTATATATACCAGGAACATAGTGATGGACTGCCGCGAATGGCCGCTATATACAGTGTAAGCATATCTATGGACACAGATGGTACGAAATCAGTCCGTGCTGCACTCTGTTCTAATTGCAATGACAATTATCAATATCAATAACAGAGCGAAAGGCGTAGAAACCAATGTTGAAAAGGTGCAAGATTATCATAAAAATAACGAAATGACACATCAAAATGGGATTAGACGCTACGTCAGCCAGTAAAGATTTTTCAGTGGAAGGCTTAAATAACCTTCGTTCGGGGTTCAAGGGCACGCTTTACATATATGTTTTTAGTGAGCTTGTTGGTAAGGACTTATAGGCTTTGTCATTTAGTGATGCAAAATGTGATAGCTGCCAAAAGGCGGATGAAGCCTTTGGGCGACCATGGGAGAGCAGCTGCGCCTTTGTGGGTCTTTGTCGCTTTAAGAGACGCGCTTGAAGGCTTTTTTTTGTTCTTCGTTGTGTAATTGATCGCTGAACTGTGAGGCTGTTTTCGGGCCGGAGACCTGTCCCGAAACACGGAGGAGCCGCTATATTTCAAAGAAATTGTATTTGCAGCCATTTCCCCCATTTTCTGTTCCGCAGGTTTAGCGTAAAAGGCTGAATAACGGCGCCGTTTTGAGACCCAGCACCATCCCAAATCCGGGTGATGCTGCGGCACAGCCCCTTCCCCCAGTAGCGGCACCGGCTAATGGACCAGCAGAACCAGCGGGTACGTGTAATTGCATGCAACTTGTGTGGCCGGCACGCTATGGACATTTTACAGCGATTAAGCCGCAAATATTTTCGTGCATTTGCTGCATGGAAGCTGCGCCGGTCCCGTTTACGATGCCATGCTTGTGTTGCTACGACGAACAAAAACGGGGTTATGCGATACAAATGAATAATCCGGTTAGTGTATACGGAAATATATATGAAATCCATTTTGATTATTTTAACGGTATGTAACGCGTAGCTTGTTTGAGTAGTGCTGGTGGATAAAGCCTAGCATCTACGGATTTTGGATTGGGTGGGGTGATGCTGCATTGAATGTGTAAGGTCGGGCGTTTTTAACGCAGGTCTAAGCTGTTTTTCAATTAAATGTGTTTTATTGGTTATAGCGTATTTCAGGCTCATACAACGGCGCCGTCTTAATGCTGGCCTCACCCGTGACACTCCGCTAACTGGATTTATGAACGACTACAGAGCCAATGATTTGATTGATGAATTTAATTTTTTTTGGATGCAATTCTAACGGTTGTTGTAACATAAAAAAAAAATCCAATTTATGTTATTCCTTTACCACTGATGAATACATGCGCAAATATTTGACAGCATTCTACGTACGCACTATGTCCTGAATTATTCATTTTATTTATTTGCATGAATATGTATGCAAAAGATATTTGTCACCTCAAATGGTTAACTTTTAAAGTCAAGGGGATGCAACAACAACGTTGTACTTGTCTACCCTAAACTCAAACACTGTGCTGATAATCAGTAATGTTCAGTAGAGTTAATGTGATATTAAAAGTGCTAATATTATATATTAAGATTGTTTACGTAGTCCTACTGGATGACATACAGTAAACACTCCAAGTGGTAAATGAACCCTATTAAACACCAGTGTAAAAGCTCCATGTATTTAAAGAAATTAATAAATCAATTCAGATAAATTCTTTAAAAAAGGATTGGAGAATATTTCTTGAATAGCAGGAGTGGAACGAGAAAAGTGATTAATTATCTTCTTATTTAGTGGTAATGGAATTGTGCCCTTATTCAGAAAGATAACACATTTATTCTCACTGAAATTTAGACTTGGTCTCATATCAGATTCCCCTGTGGGTGATATCTGTGTGCAGGGTACGTCTGATGCGAGGCTTAAGTCATGTTCGTACGGCTCCTTTTCCTCCCTGACAGCTGCGTGCTTGTTAAGTGGCATCGGCCTCCCTGATGTGCTGCCTTGGACACAAGAGTCTTCCAAACAAATAAATAGATACATTTGACTACAATGAAGTTATGCGGTTTGGGAATAAACAGACAATACTATTTATTGTTATAATAAATAATTGTTGTTGTTGCTGTTATAAATATTGTTTTTATTCGACCACTGTAAGTCTGTACCAGTGGCACTGGTTACAAAAAATGGGTAAACTTTTAATCTATGTAGAACTGAACTGCAAGAAAAAATAAATGAAAAATGATGAGGAGCAGACATTAATGAATGCATACGTTGGCATTTATCTAATATCAAACTGCTTGAGTAAATCTTGATTGTCTGTTTGATTATGTGCTTTTGTCTGATGTGAGGAAAATCTCAACATTATTAACTGTGTTGATGCTCAGTTGAGTCGTTTTGCTTGGACAGACAAATTAGTCATCTTTTTGTTTGTTAGTGGAATTTAAAACTCACTGTCGGTTTCATTGGGATTTCATGATTGTTAGGGTTCTGTTTACTATGGACAATATAGCTAGAAAATTTTATGCAATCATTCAGTGGAAAACAGGAATCGGCCCCATATAGGATGGATGGATGGATGGTTTAATAGACAGATAGACATACAGACATACTTTATTGATCCCAGTGGGAAATTCAGCAACTTGGAAGTGGGAAATAGCAGTATAGCGGGTAACAGGAATGTGTGTACAAAATCTCAAAGTGCGAATCACTGACCATTTTTAAAATATATAGTATAGTATATACCCCAGATATATATAGTATATAGTATAGCTAGATATAGGGGGTGCCGTCTGTTCAGCAGGCTGGAATCAACTTTTGAGAAAATCTTTCTCATGACCGATGGTGCTGGTTCCCTCCATAAGTACAGCGGTCTGTCATACATGAAGCTGAAGCAGACAGACCATCCACTGGCGGTGTCTGAAGCGGACAGACCGTCCTCTGGCGGTGTCTGAAGCGGACAGACCGTCCTCTGGCGGTGTCTGAAGCGGACAGACCGTCCTCTGGCGGTGTCTGAAGCGGCTCCCTGGCAGGATGTGATGCTGTAAACACCGGAATTTAATTTCACAGCTGGCACACGGGCCTCGCACTACTGTCATGTAATTCTCACTCTCGCTCATTGAAAAGTAATTCCTGATTGCTGTACCAGAAGTGCTGCTGAATTTTGCGAGCTGCAGTTGAAGTCTTGCAGGTTTTTCACTTTCTTTCTTTCTTTATTTATTTATTTTAATGGCTGCCCAATTTCGTCACATGGCTGTTTCGAGGAGTTCTGAAATGCATTGGACACAACAGAGAGGAATCGCATAGATTTTATTTGTTGTATTTTTTTGTTGCTTCTTGTCATCATTTTTAGTCTTTACACCCCTGACCTACGGTTATGTGATTATTGGCAAATATCCGTATCAGTTGTGATTTATAAAACATTAGTCATGCTGCTAGACATTTTACAGAAGGATTTCACGCAAAGGAAGGCTCATATTGACTTTGTTCCTAATAGACTTATTAACAATTGAAGCTTTAATTTATATTATTAGTCTTTTTTCCGTACACTGTGCATTTAAAAAAAAAAATTCTCTGCTGTGTGACATCATTTCCTGTTGGTGGTGGTGGGGTTCCTGGATTGTATTTTATATATGTTGAAAATAAATGAACCAACATGCAATCAGCTATATGAACCTTAAATGGTGTTTGTGACTGTTGTCTGTCGTGCTCTGCGCTGGGCTGTGACGCATCCTGCGGGTTCCCTTTCAGACAGTACTGTGAAGTGAACTTCTCGCTACCATGACGACCCAAGTGACCCTCGAAGATGCTCTGTCCAACGTGGACCTGCTGGAGGAGCTGCCACTTCCAGACCAGCAGCCCTGCATCGAGCCCCCCCCCTCCTCCATCATGTACCAGGTACTCATGCGGAGCTCCCAGGTCACCACTCCTCATTATCTACTGTGGACCAAGAAGTTCTCTGTATGAGACGCTAAAGTCAGACAAGCACTTGACCCTAGAACAGTATCAAGACTTTAACAGTTCAGTGTTTCCCCTAAGTTTACAGCTTTGGGAGGGGGGGGGGGGCGACGGAGACCGACAGGATTCATGGTGTTCATGTGTTTCTTTTAATGACAGCAGTCAGCTGAACTAAACATCAAAACATTTCTTTTTATGGACAATTCACCACCCTGGGAGCGTTTAAAAACCGCAGATATTTTTGTCTGCTTTTCTGGTGGTTGACGCAACATATTTTCCGACGCGCGCACACACAGGTGAGCGCACTCCCACCAGTGGACAGAGAGCGCGCGTCGGAAAATATGTCGCGTCAACCACCAGAAAAGCAGACAAAAATAAAATGTATCCGCCATGCGCGATACAGAGAGCAGAGGAGAATTGTAAACGCGTGACTGTGTAGAGACAAAAATGACAAGCTGTTGTGTAAATAAGATAAATAACATACGGCTATTTAGTTTGTTTAATAAAAGGACAATATACAGACCTGTTATATAGGAAAGGTTAACTTAAATTACTTTTTGATCTGTTTTGATCTGGCGCTATATAGAAAATAATACTAAATAAAATTAACTTGACCTTCAAGGGGGGGTGGGAGGTGCCGTTGGGAGGGCGGGGCGCACACCTAATATAATGGTAGGGGAAACACTGCAGTTAATTCTTTGTGGCATTTCAGGATTCTGGTTGATTAATATTAATTAATGGTGTTAATGTTACCTCGATGAGGATTCCACTGCAATGCAGTGGTTAGCAGTGTTGCCTCACACCTCTGGGACCAGGGTCCAGGTCTCTGCCGTGGCTCTGTGCGTGTGCAGTTTGCATGTTCTCCCCGTGTCATTGTGGGGTCCTACCCCCCACAGTCCAAAAACATTGATGTGGTTAATTGCAGTTACCAAAATGCCCACAGGAGTGTGTGTGGGTTGGTGCCCCATTCCTGGACTATTCCCTCCCTCGAACCCATTGCTTCTGGGATAGGCTCCAGACCCCCCATGACCCATGATAGGACAAGCCATTACAGGAGATGGATGAATACTTTTAAAAATAGTTATTACTAATTGTTTAATGCAAATTGTTTATTGTTAAACATCATTTAGATATAATATACTTATACAAAGAGATTACTAGTACAGCATTACCCAGCTGTGTTTTACAGACTGTTTAATTGAATTAAGAATCTGATGAGATATGTGTCTGGTGTTTGTCTGGCACGCTGACAGATGTGTATTCCACAGGCTAATTTCGACACCAACTTTGAGGACAGAAACGCATTCGTCACTGGGATCGCCCGCTACATCGAACAGGCCACCGTCCACTCTAGCATGGTGAGGGCCACAGGCAGGCGGGGTCACTGGGCGAGTTTCCCGGGGGTGGGTTTCCCGAGGGTGGGTTTCCCGAGGGTGGGTTTCCCGAAAGCTCCCATTAGCAGCTTACATAGTCAGGCCCATGCAGCTGCACGGTCCTGACTATGTAAGTCGCTAACGTAGTTAGCCAGTATGCTAACGCAGCCCGTGAAGGGTGATGCCAGTGACCCGGCAAAGTCAGCTGGGCGTGTGATTGGCTGAAAGTCAGACTGGAGCCCCCAGATAACTGATGTGAGTGTCAAAGCAAGGGGCCATTTATAACCCTGCTGTGCCTCAGGCTTCTGCCGTCTGTGACCCCCCCCCCCCGCACCACGAAAACACAGGGTGTCTCCTGTTCTGTGTGTTGCTTCTAACGAGGTTATAGTTTAATGAAGCGTAGCTTTCGAAGGGGTGGAAATGCGAGCAGCATTGGTTTTACTATGTAACGCCTTGTTGTGTTTGAATATGTTAGGTAAAGGTGTTAAGGTGGGGGATGTGATATGTGAGGTTACATGTGTATAATTATGGCCAGTGTTTCTCAACAAAGTCCATGAGGACCCCCCCCCAGCCAGTCCACGTTTTTGGTCCCTCCCAGCTCCCAGCACAGCTGTTCCAGGCGTTCGCTGATCATGATTGGCTGGGAGATGGGAGGGAGCAAAATTGTGGGCTGTCTGGGGGTCCCAGAGGACTGTAGGGAGAAACACTGATTTTGGCTATATATGGTGATTCAGTGGGCGGAGTCTCTGAGCTGTGGGTTAGAGTCTGACCTCTGTCCTCTGCCATCATGCAGAGTATACAGAGTGCAGGTGAATCAGCTTCTCTAACTGAGCAAGTCTGTGTATGGCTGTCTGGTTCAGGGTGTCTGTCACCACTGGTCATCTGCTTTTGCTGGAAACGAAACAGATCTCTGTAACCACAATTGTTCACCATATCCAAGTAGGGTGCAGAGTGAGACATTCCAGGTTTGGTGGGATGTTCAGTTTCGTAGCCCGGACAGGTAACATAAGCACTCAGTTAAAGTTCACTGGGTTCCTGACAGTCTGTTTGTCCCCCAAGAACGAGATGCTGGAGGAGGGCCAGGAGTACGCGGTCATGCTGTACACCTGGCGAAGCTGCTCTCGCGCCATTCCACAGGTAACATCGCCCTGGCCAACCGCCACTTCCTGTTTCGGGTAACAGTTTCCTGTTTAGGGGTGATGGGGACGTGAATGTTCATTTTACAGGGTGATTTGGGAGTACTCATTACTATTCATGAGAGAAGCTTCCCGATTGGCCAGTGAGCATGCTCGGGCATTCATTGGCCAATCAGGTGGCACAGAGATTCATGATGGGGATGGGGTGGGGAGGGACAATACTGTAGGTGAGCTTTAAAAATAAGGCCATTAACCAAGGCAAAAAAAAACAGACCAAGTTGTCTTTATGCTGGGAGAAAGGACAGGTGAACGGCATTAATTCTGTAAGATTCGCCTGTCTCTTCCTCCTAAGTCAGGCCGTGGCATTGCCCGCTGTTTGCTGTTATGATGGTATTGTGCATTTGCTAACTTTCACAAATATGTAACAATAAGTCATGGCATGTGGCACCTGAGTCGGCGATTTCTCAATAAACATTTATGGTTAAATATGTAAAGCCCTGAACTTGTGTTCAAATCAGTAACCTGGTAAAGTGTTTCTGTGGATGGGTAACGGAATGATGAACGTGACAGTGTCCTCTGGTGGCTAATAGGTGAAGTGCAACGAGCAGCCCAACCGGGTGGAGATCTATGAGAAGACAGTGGAGGTTTTAGAACCTGAAGTTACCAAGCTCATGAAATTCATGTACTTCCAGGTAATAATCCCAGGCTTCTCAAAGACCGTGTTTTTCCCGTGCAAACTAAAAGTTTGGCTGCATGGCTGTGAGGGTTGACAGGGGGTTGAGTTTCCGCCCTCTTGGCCCGTAGAGGAAGGCCATCGAGCGCTTCTGCAACGAGGTGAAGCGCCTGTGTCACGCTGAGAGGAGGAAGGACTTCGTGTCCGAGGCCTACTTGCTGACCCTCGGCAAGTTCATCAACATGTTCGCTGTGCTGGACGAGCTGAAGAACATGAAGTGCAGCGTCAAGAATGACCACTCCACATACAAGAGGTGCGTGCATTTGCATGCGTGGGCCCCCCATGCCGGCTCAGGATAGCGACCAGCTTCAGTGACACGCCATCTCTTACCAACTCGAGGCCCAGATATACACCAGGTCTCCACCTCGATTTGGTTCAGAGGTTTTATATGATGACTCATATATATCTGCAGTCTTCTTTCATGGCGTCTGTTTCATGCAGGGCGGCCCAGTTTCTGAGGAAAATGGCCGACCCGCAGTCCATCCAGGAGTCTCAGAACCTGTCCATGTTCCTGGCCAACCACAACAGGATCACACAGGTGGGCTTCCTCACGTACAGCACGGTATTACGTCGTCCACCATCCCATCCCAGTTTGCTGTCACTATGCTGCTACATTTTCGCAGCTATTAGCCTAGCTATTAGCCTAGCTATTAGCCTAAATTGGCCATGCGTACATCTACCCAGTGATCGGTAAATTAGTTTGTTTTTGCGCAAATATGCAGCAGTCACACTGTGCAACATGCTATTTAGCTGCATACAGGTCAGCAAAGCGGCATCTCCATATCCGCCATGTCGGAATACTGTCTACTTCCGTGTAGACCAGGTGACCAATCAGAGGGCGAGAGGGTCATGTGATGAGCAGGGACCAATTAGGGCACTTTCAGTCATCCACACTTTAACACAGTCTTGAGTTTTTAAACGAAAACACAGCAGCGGGGACAGCCTGAAACGCACACGGAACTTTAGCCAGTGTTTTATTACAACTAGACAAGGTTCATTGTCTTCTCCATCCAGTGTCTTCACCAGCAGCTGGAGGTGATCTCAGGTTACGAGGAGCTGCTGGCCGACATCGTCAACATCAGCGTGGACTATTACGAGAACAAAATGTACCTCACGCCCAGCGAGAAGCACATGCTGCTGAAGGCCAGTCATTGCAGAGGCTGAGAGACGCCTCCGTCTCCTTGCTGCTCCTCACGGTGTCCACCAACCGTGGGAAGCTGACCGCCGTTCTCCATCTGCCCATGTCACAGGTCATGGGCTTCGGGCTTTACCTGATGGACGGCAACGTCAGCAACATCTACAAACTGGACGCCAAGAAGAGGATAAACCTCAGCAAGATTGACAAGTTCTTCAAGGTGTGATCTGTCGTTCGTGATCCGTCCCTGGTAACGTTTTTTCTTCCTTTCCTCTGACGGCAGTAGGCATTCTTAAGGTTTTTCTTTGTACTGTCGTCTTCTAGCAACTGCAGGTCGTTCCCCTGTTTGGAGACATGCAGATCGAATTGTCCCGATACATCGAGACCAGTGCCCATTATGAGGAAAACAAGTCCAAGTAAGTGGAAAGATGTGGGGGGGGGGATTATGTTCAGGGGTGTCTCAGAGTGCCTGTGATCAAGGGCTTGCTGGTTCAAATCCCAGTGTTAGCAGACAAATGTCACCCTTATCACCCATGATTGTTCCAGGGACGGTTATCACAATTGTAGAACCAGTTTCCAAAGCTTTCTCAGTTTATTTTCCGTTGTTTTTGAGATGAGACCCCCAGTGACCTAAAATGAGGCTTCCTTATCATACGTTACAGTTTTGGGAACCAAAACTCAGTACTCATGTAATCCGGCGAAGAATTTTTTGTTAAATTTGCCACACAAATAGTGCTTACTTACAAACTGGACCGAGTGAGTTTTGGAATTTGCGCTTCTGTTTTACGTCGTTGGTTAAAAACAGCCGCTAAGTAACCAAAATTAGAACGAGCAAAGGAGGTGACGTCGGTCATCTTTGTCTCCCACCCCCCCGCCCCCCAGGTGGACATGCACCCAGAGCAGCATCAGCCCACAGTATAACCTGTGTGAGCAGATGGTGCAGATCCGTGACGACCACATCCGCTTCATCTCGGAGCTAGCCCGCTACAGCAACAGCGAGGTGGTGACCGGCTCGGGCCTGGACAGCCAGAAGTCTGACGAGGAGTACAGGGAGCTCTTCGACCTGGCGCTGAGGGGCCTACAGCTGCTGTCCAAGTGGAGCAGCCATGTCATGGAGGTGGTGTGTATCAGGGCCCCAGGCTCCGGGCCCCGGAGCGGGCGACGGACAGGGGCCCTAAAGGCTGATTTATGCTTCTGTGTCAAATCAACGCTGTAAGCACGCTGTAGCTGTGGGACTGAAGAAAGCGTCCATCCTGCTTTATATCTAGCGCTAAATAACCCACTCTGGGCATCGTAGCAACAGGTCTACAAAACACTCAGGATGCCAACAGCGATTTCACTTACCTCCATTAAGTTTATTCGTACTTTACGAGGCTAAAAAAAATGGGGAAAGTAGTATAGACACTAGCATTATAAGAGTAAATGCATAAAGAGCGACTTTGTTGCGGCTTACCATTTTTCCGAAGTTTGCAGCAGCATAAACATACACAAGATAAATGGATACTTTGTTAAATGTTTGTTCTTCTTCTGTTTCAGTTGCGTGATTCAACAATTCAATATATCACAGGGTGGGAAGACAATACATGCCACATCCGAAACTATGTGTCACGTAGAGTTTTAGCAGAGTAATCGCAGTGCGACACAGATACAGCAGCGCACAGGTAGCAATGCCCATAACGACATAGGCCACTTGCGTAGGTCACGGCGTAGCCTCGACGCAGAAGTATAATCAGCCTTTCCTGGTCCCATTTTATACTCTACTCGCATTGCATGTATTTATCATTTGTTTACTCATTCCTATTTTGCATTGTTTGTCTTGCATTGCACTTTTGTTTGGCCTATTGGTGGAACAAATCGGAACATGGGGATCATGCGGGGGGGGCATAAACTTATGCCCACTTGACTGTTTGCATCTGAGTTTTTCAAAAGCAATCTTCTGCCTCTCTATTTTTTTTTTTTCTAAATCGTCGAAGCTCGCTCATGCTGCATATCGCGATTTGGCTAATGCTGTCCATGACGCAGCATCAAAAATACAGCCTAAAAATAGTCTATTGGTAGATTTCCAATCGCAGCAGTTAGTAAGTAACATTTGCCTCGCCTAAAAATCACGGTTTTGTTTTTAAAAAAAAAAACATGGATATAATTTTCCTTTAAAATTTCGTATTTTTGTAATTGTTCATCGCTCTATTCTTCATGTTTGCAGTCCAAAAGAATAAGGCTAAAATGATGAGTAATAAAATATACACATAAAATTATGTATTACAAATAAATATTACTGTAGAGTAAATGGAGAAATAGTTCAGAGATAGTGTTAGGGTTCAGAGATAGGGTTAGGGTTCAGAGATAGGGTTAGGGTTCAGAGATAGGGTTAGGGTTAGGGTTCAGAGATAGGGTTCAGAGATAGTGTTAGGGTTCAGAGATAGGGTTAGGGTTCAGAGATAGGGTTCAGAGTTAGGGTTAGGGTTCAAAGATAGGGTTAAGGTTAGGGTTTAGAGATAGGGTTAGGGTTCAGAGATAGGGTTCGGAGATAGGGTTAGGGTTCAGAGATAGGGTTAGGGTTCAGAGATAGGGTTCGGAGATAGGGTTAGGGTTCAGAGATAGGGTTATGGTTCAGAGATAGGTTTAGGGTTAGGGTTCAGAGACAGGGTTAATGTGGCTGCTTGGGGGAAGAAGCTATTCTTGTGTCTTGATGCAGTGGTTCTGATGGTCTGAACCGTCTCCCCTCGGGGAGAACATTGAAGAGTTCACGGCCGTGCTGAGAGGGGCCAACCATGGTCTTGCCAGGGGTGACACTGACGTTCTTTTCCCAGTACTCGTGGAAGCTGGTCCACCCGACCGACAAGTTCTGCAACAAGGACTGCCCCGGCACGGCGGAAGAGTACGAGAGAGCCACGCGCTACAACTACACCAGCGAGGAGAAGTTCGCCCTGGTGGAGGTGAGGCGTGGTGCTGGCAGGGGGGGCTTCCCGCTCTTTCCCGGGCACGTCGCCACGGGCCTTGGGCCCGGTCCAGCCTGACAGAGCTCAGGTTTAATACGCAATTACAGCCTGCATGGAGCGCTGTAGGGCTGTTTCTCCTCTGTGAAATGGGTTTAACCTCATTAGAGTGGATTTAGGGCTTCCAGGCGATACGGTGGGGGGGGGGGGGCTTCCTGTACTGTAAATCATTCTAGTTTGGGGTCTAGTTTTTCCTATTTTTAAGGTCACTGTGATGGTGCTCAGTTAGAGTCAGATGCACACTGCAAACAGAGAGCACTGCTAAGACCTGTTTCAAAGCCCTGCTATCTCCTGGTGATTTAAAGGCACTGTGAAGATCTCGCATGAGTAGCTCACTGGCAACAGTATCCAAGTGATGCCTGTACCAGAATCTGGAGGGAATATGCTATATGGGGCCGTACAAAGGATAGTGCATGAAGAAAGGTCAGGTGAGATAGCATGTTCTCCTCAAAATGTCACATTTAGGTGAGGCGTGTGGATCACTGCGTTTGCATACTGTGGACTAATAGGGCGATTTTACCATTGGGCCTTGGAGTAACGACCTTTGGTCCTTAAAGACTGTTGCTCCAAAGAATAGCTGGCCACGGTTTCTTAAAAACGTACAACACTTTGGATAATATTTTAAAAATCGTTCACTTTAGATGCCTGAGAATAATGATCTCTTTGTGTTATGAGGCTCCATCCTCTTTGAGTGAAAGATTTCTTCGCCTTTTTACAGCAGTGGGTAGTTCAGGTATAGAAAGTAACAATCCACACCCAGAAGTCCAGTCCACAAAATCCAAGACTTTGTTTCAACCAACTGGTTGAGTACTCTGTGACTGTGACTCTTTATACTCAACTGGTTGGTTGAAACAAAGTCTTGTTGTGGATTTTTACTTTCTGGACCTGAACTCCCTCTTCTCTTTTATGATCACATCCGTGGTTCCGCTTGTCCCACTTCGCAGGTCATCGCCATGATAAAGGGCCTCCAGGTTCTCATGGGCCGCATGGAGAGCGTCTTCAACCAGGCCGTCCGGAACACCATCTACGCAGAGCTGCAGGACTTCGCACAGATGACCTTGAGGGAGCCGCTGCGACAAGCTGTACGCAAGAAGAAGAACGTCCTCATTAGGTAGCGCAGTGGCTCCGTCCTAGTGCCCTGTGCCATTTAGGTGTCCGTGCAGGTGCCCGAGATAAAAACCGTGTTCACTAATGATCATAAAATTAAACAGTCAGTAAACACAATTTATGGAACCTAATCGAGGGCCCAGGAGTATAAGGTCAGTGGTAAAATCCTTCTGCTCACTCATAAATGTCATTTACAGCCATCCGTACACACACACGCTCACACACACGCACATAAACACACACATACACACACACACACACACAATGGATCCACCTGTAACAGGACAATAATATTACAGCAATAAAATCACTAGCATTACTGTGTGAATCTGCATCCATTCATCATGTGTCTAAAAGTATCAGCATAAATATAAAATAAATTAGACGTATGTGCATAAATAACAATTTCTAGAAAGTGGGATTTAAAGACAAGATGTGAAAGTATTTCTTTGTCGAACAGAGTAAGTGACTGCAGCGTTGGTGCCATTATCCCCAGTGTCCTTCAGGCAACCAGGAAGACTATTTGTGACTGGGATGGGGCGAGAGAGCCGCCCAACGACCCCTGCCTGCGGGGAGAGAAGGACCCCAAGGGCGGCTTCGAGATTAAAGTTCCCCGCCGCAGCGTTGGCCCCTCTAGTACTCAGGTCAGCTGACAGGCCGTTCAGGTGATGGGGTGCTACCACGCGGGCCCTGTTCCTGGCACAGTCCCCATTTCCTCACAGTCTCCCGGCATAGTCCCCATTTCCTCACAGTTTCCCGGCACAGTCCCCATTTCCTCACAGTCTCCCGACACAGTCCCCATTTCCTCACAGCCCCCTGGCACAGTCCCCATTTCCTCACAGCCCCCTGGCACAGTCCCCATTTCCTCACAGCCCCCTGGCACAGTCCCCATTTCCTCACAGTCCCCTGGCACAGTCCCCATTTCCTCACAATCTCCTGGCACAATCCTCATTTCTTCATAGTCTCCTGACACAGTTCCCATTTCCTCACGGGCTCCCAACACAGTCCCCATTTCCTCACAGTCTCCTGGCACCGTCTCCATTTCCTCACAGTCTCCTGGCACAGTCCCTATTTCCTTACAGTCTCCTGACACAGTCCCCATTTCCTAACCCAGTCCCCAGCTCACAAATCCTCCCTACCTCAACATCCATCTCGACAGTCTGCTGATAATCTGTCTTCACACAGTCTTCTGATGCAGTCCCTGTTTCCTCATAGTCTTCTAACATAGTCTGTCTCCATACAGTCTCATGTGTCCCCACTATCTGTCTCCTTATAGTCTCCTGACACAGTCTACTTACAGATCCTGTCTCTTCACAATCTTTTCATGTGGTCTTTGTGTCCTCACAGTCTACTGACACAGTCTGTGTCCTCAGTGTTTCAGTCCCCTGACTCTGTCCCCTCCCACACAGCTATACATGGTGCGTACCATGCTGGAGTCCCTGATCGCCGATAAGAGCGGCTCTAAGAAGACTCTCCGCAGCAGCCTGGATGGCCCAATCGTTCTGGCCATCGAGGACTTCCATAAACAGTCTTTCTTCTTCACCCACCTGCTCAACTTCAGCGGTACCACAGCGCTGGCAGCCCTGCCCCATTGTGCAAAACATCAGATGGCGGGAATGTGAATTTTAAACTCCAATCGCAGCATAGAAACTCGATTTAATCGCATGTCTGTGTTTCTGAAATTCTCTGTGTGCGTGGAGGTTGTATATTCTCCCCATATCACATGGCATTTCTCCTGCTGTCAAAAGACACACGATCAAGCTAAACTGTCCTCCCCCCGTTTCCCTGCAGAGACCCTGCAGCAGTGCTGTGACCTCTCCCAGCTCTGGTTCCGCGAGTTCTTCCTGGAGCTGACCATGGGCCGTAGGATCCAGTTCCCCATCGAGATGTCAATGCCCTGGATCCTCACCGACCACATCCTGGAGACCAAAGAGGCATCCATGATGGAGTAAGCATTCTTGACTGTTCACTCCGGCTGAGGGTCAGTGTTCTTCTGGCCATAGACTGGCTCCTTCAGCACCTTCACCGAATATCTCCCCGCATTTTACTCATCTCTCCAGGTACGTTTTGTATCCCCTGGACCTCTACAATGATAGTGCTTACTACGCTTTGACCAAGTTCAAGAAGCAGTTCCTCTATGACGAAATCGAGGCAGAGGTAATATCCCAAGGGTTGTCCTTGCTCTGATTTAACATCCCAAAGTCATAATTCCGTCAAGACAGACAGACTGTGATCTCGGTCAACAAATTTATACCTGGATTGTTTCGTTTCAGGTTAATCTCTGTTTTGACCAGTTTGTCTACAAGTTATCAGATCAGATATTTGCCTACTACAAGGCAATGGCTGGGAGGTAAGTGGATGTTAATCATTTTCAGACTTAATCTTCTCCCAGTATGTATTATACAAACTGGTTCTAATGCCGGAATGTTTTTACCCAAAACTAACGTATCTAAGGTTGAATCTCATGTCTGGAAGGTGAGAGATTGGTGACCGTCACCTTACCGGTCCCGTCCTTTTCTCCCGCAGCGTCCTGCTGGACAAACGCTTCCGTGCAGAGTGTAAAAACGACGGCGTGATTATCCCGTACCCTCCCTCCAACCGTTACGAGACGCTGCTGAAGCAGAGGCACGTCCAGGTACGTAGGTATACGTTCACGCAAACACACACTGATATAAGCCTAGTGCTGAAATCCGGACCAAGATTTTGCTATGAGTCACATTCATAGAGTGCTCAACTGGTTAGTTTAAGCAAAATCTTGGTCTGGATTTTTACTTTCTGGACCTGGACTATCTACCTCTGGGAGTAGCACAAACATTTCAGCACTAGGCTTATATCAGTATGTGTTTCCAACAGCGTGAATAGCTATTTATTAAGTCAAACCAATATTATTAGCATAATTAGCTAATACAAGCTGATAGGTCATTAATCCAGCACCCAGTCAATGTGGCTTGAGTTTTGTGAGGTCCTACATACCGAATACTGCCCTTATATGGATAGGGACCGTGGCAGTGTGTCCTACATACCGAATACTGCCCTTATATGGATAGGGACAGTGGCAGTGTTTCCTACATATCGAATACTGCCCTTATATGGATAGGGACCGTGGCAGTGTGTCCTACATACCGAGTACTGCCCTTATAAGGATAGGGACCGTGGCAGTGTGTCCTACATACCAAATACTGCCCTTATATGGATAGGGACTGTGGCAGTGTGACTGTAAGCTTATCTCTAGCACTGGGTGCCCCTTAAAAATCTCTTGGTCAATGACCCAATGATATTAAGCAAGGCTCATAAGCCCCAGCTCCAGGGATGCCACATGCTAGCTGACCCTGCGCTGTGACCCCCCCAGCCCCAGGGGGCGCTGCATGCTGGCTGACCCTGCNGCTGACCCTGCGCTGTGACCCCCCCAGCCCCAGGGGGCGCTGCATGCTGGCTGACCCTGCACTGTGACCCCAAGCTTGCTCTTATTTCTATATGTGGAACAATAAAGCACAGCCATAAATAAAATTCTATTCGTCTGAGAAGGTAAAACACAGTATGTTAAGGACTTTAGTTAAAACTGCAGCCATTGGTATTGTTGGGAGTGATCAGGCATGTCTCTCCGCAGCTCCTAGGACGCTCCATCGACCTGAACCGCCTCATCACGCAGAGGATCTCAGCCGCCATGTACAAATCCCTGGACCAAGCCATCAGTCGCTTCGAGAGCGAGGACCTCACATCCATCGTGGTGCGGAGACCTTCCCGGCTGTGGTGTGATGGAGATCGTGTGGCCGACACTTTACTTTAATGATCCTTCTAGTCTGCAAAGCCTAGGAGATACGGCCTTTGGCCCGTACATTTTTGCTGCCTTTAAGCCCCTCCCCCTCAGTCCCTAACTCCGCCCACTGACCGCCTCCCACAGGAGCTGGAATGGTTGATAGAAGTGAACCGCCTAACTCACCGCCTGCTCTCCAAGCACATGACCCTGGACAGCTTCGACGCCATGTTCCGCGAGGCCAACCACAACGTCTCCGCCCCCTACGGCCGCATCACCCTGCACGTCTTCTGGGAGCTCAACTTCGACTTCCTCCCCAACTACTGCTACAACGGCTCCACCAACCGGTCAGTGTGTGCGACCAAGTCTTCGTCTTTCTGGATCTTTCTGGCTCCTCCCCCCATACACTAGGGGCCACCTAGCATTTTTGGCGCTTAAAAATTACTACACAAAAAATCGGCAATAATGTTTATAAACAATCAAAGAATGTCACAAATATCATACATTGGATGATAGTACATAGCTGGAGCAACAGCTGAATAAAGGTCTGCAATCTCTAAAAACTGGAGGTGTTTCCACAATTTTGGCTACATTTTATTTTCCTGTTAACTTATATCATTGTGCTATTATTTGCTTTTGTTCTTTTGCTACCTTTGTTATTTCTCTTTAGCTCACCGTTTTGTTACTATATCCGTAAAATATGATGTTCATTATTTCTGCTTGTACTTTTTATAACTTTAATCTTTTCATTCTTTTATATTTTATTGCATTTTATTTGTTTATTTCGCTTATCTGTTTTGTTCAGGTTTATTTAATCTCTTTATAATTTCATTGACCTGTGCGTGAGCTGCTTTCCTGCCATCGGTTTTATTTCAGTCGCATATGTGAAGCTCTTTGAGCTGCATTCTATGTATGAAATGATTATTATTATTATTATTATTTCAGATTTGTAAGGACGGCGATTCCTTTTACCCAGGAACCCCAGAGGGATAAACCAGCCAATGTTCAACCTTATTACCTGTATGGGTCCAAGGTGCGAATGTCTGATACACATCAAAACTTCCCAGAATTCCTCTGTCTTTATTTGCAGCTTTGCCCATTGTAGATGTTTCCCCATTCAGCATCATGTCATCTGAAACCTTGCACGCGTGTTCCTCAGAACTGATGAGTGTCCTGCCTCCGCAGCCCCTGAACATCGCCTACTCCCACATCTACAGCTCCTACCGGAACTTTGTGGGCCCGCCCCACTTCAAGACCGTCTGCCGTCTCCTTGGTTACCAGGGAATCGCCGTTGTGATGGAGGAGCTTCTCAAGATCGTCAAGAGCTTGGTATGAAGAAGCTGCGTGTTAGTCTGCGTTGTGCATCGCAGTCACGGCATGCTGCTCCCTGCCCAGATCGTCGGGGCTGTTTTGTTTTCCACCATCTCTGCATTCAAAATAGTCAACATCTAGTGAATGTTACATTTTTAAGTGAAGTATTGGAATTCCCTGGACGAGGAATATGTATGGTTTTGAGATCGGTCTGCCACAGACACGTTGTATGGGTGAAGTTATGAAACGGATCAAATTATGAGCCAAATCGCACCGAAATTGAAGCAGCGATGTTTGGTGGTTGCGCGTGAACCTGGTGATCCTGATTACTTTGAGACAAGTCACACGAAGTTGGGCTATTAATAAAGATGTTTTTGGATGGGTGGAGAGAGCTTTGCTGGGGGGTGGAGAGGGGGGTAGAGATTGTACAGATATTGAGGTGATGGATGTTTGTGGGGTAGGGGCGACAAGGCCGTCTGGGAAATACGTTGCTGTTGTTCCTGACGGAATCGAGTTTGTAACCTGTCGTCTGCAGTCGTCTCTGAGATGTAACCGTCTACGCAGGAACCCGTTGGCTGACCTTAGGTCCACATCTGAATGGGTTTGCAGATGCAGACATTTTCGAATTCACAACACAAGCAAACCTGCCTGGGTGTGTTTGGCTTATAAAACGGGGTGGGGGGGGGGCACACTGCTTATAATTATCCATTGTAATAACCCTCACAAAGCAGAACTGTGTTATTCCTCTTTCTGCTACCTAACTCTTTGTTAAGCACAGCCTTTACATACAGACTTAGGTAAGCAGGCCAGGTCATTACCCACCCCCAATTAGGTCTTGGGTGATGGGGGGTGTCCTATTTGTTATTCACCACAAATGAGGCTTTGCATTGTTTACCTTTCATGTGCTAAAAACCCACACACTTCAATCGGGCGACGCCCTCGTTTTTCTTGACTTCCTCGAGCGCAGGTTTAACGATCCTGGAACATGTTCGGGGTCTGAAATTCACAGCAGGGAGGTAATCATTCCTGAGGCAGCCTGCTGGCTCTCCGGATGAGTCCGCGGGCAGCGATCGGTCATCCCAGTCGATGGCCGTGTTCACGTTCCTGCGATAAAATAAATACCAAAAGCAACATCTAATTAATCACGAGTGAAAGTTCTCAGTGTAAGAAAGAGCCAAGGTTATAAACCGCGCAACCTGTTTTTGTTAAACGGGCTCAGACTTGCTTTTATTACCTGCGGTGTCGCTCGGGTATTGTTAACAGAAAGGTAGTTTACGGCTTGGCCACATTGTAAACTAGACGTGCTTTTGAAGCTGTCGTCCTACAGGTAGATATCTGTGAAACGTCGGCGTTATCCGTTATCCAGCTTCCAGCAAGTGATTCACACGAAAGCTTTGGCCTGACACTGTGCCGAATGTGTTTATTCTAGTTGCCATGACAGGTGCTATTTATTCAAAGACATTGCTTGGCTTATCTCCATCTGCAGGTTGAGTCTGGGTCATTAACACACATTTCTCCAGTGTAGAGTGATGGCTTGCCTTCTCTGTCTCCTTAATCTTTGCACGTAGACCTAAATATTAGGTGTCCACTGGATGTATGGGGAGAATCATCGGTCTGGGTGAGGACCATATAAAACTAATCTTGTTGACTTTTGTAGCACTGCAGCTATCTGTGTTTCTCTGAAGGGTTGTGTTGTTTTTGATCGCAGCGATTTCACAGGTGCTACAGGCACCATTTTGGTGCTTGTGGTTGCCCGATTTTTTTTGAGTATAACCCTGACAGGGAAAACAGCATTTGCCCTGTTCTTCCTTCTTTGGAAAGACCTCGCCAAACAGGTTGAAAGGGTAAGAATGGATGGCATGAGAGTGGAAGCCAGGAAGCGGAAGCTTCTGGCCAGGATGTGCCAGGGATTCGGAGTCATTCCTTGTCCATCCTGTTTTTCAGCTACAGGGCACCATTCTGCAGTATGTGAAGACTCTCATAGAGGTCATGCCAAAGATCTGCCGGCTTCCGCGGCACGAATATGGTTCTCCAGGTGAGGTCACTGGCTGGTGATTGAAGATGATTCCCTTTAATCATCTCCTGAGCTGTGCAATATTGATCTTCACCCTTGGTGGCTCTAGCTACATGGTTCTAGCAGAGAGGTCAAGACGTGCCAGAACATGTTTGTTTTCATCTAAGATTCTCGTGGGGTGGGGTGGGGTGGGGTGGGGCAGTGTATCACTCAGCGGGCTAAGCCTCTGGGCCTGTGGTCAGAGGGTCACCAGTTTGAGCCCAGCCTCAGCGTAATAGTCACATGTCTGTGAGCCCTTGACCAATGACCTTAACCCCCAGCTCCATGGGTACTGCTGCAGGTGGCTGCCCTTCCTGTCAAGCTTAGTGTCAACTACATATGTGTCTGTGTGTCACGGAGAGCGAGATGGGGTAGGAAAAACAAAGATTTCCCCACAGGGATCAATAAAGTGTTATTATTATTATTATTATTATTATTATTATTATTATTATTATAAGCTGTGTTTAAGTCTGTTGTGCCACTTTAAATCACAGTTAGAATGGAGTGACCCGTCCATCGAGGGGGGCCGATCGCTCCGCCCCACCTTCACACGTTGCATCACTTTCGCAGGAATCCTGGAGTTCTTCCACCATCAGCTGAAGGACATCATCGAGTACGCCGAGCTGAAGACCGACGTCTTCCAGAGTCTGCGGGAGGTCGGCAACGCCATACTTTTCTGCCTGCTGGTCGAGCAAGCGCTGGTGAGGCTGACCGCGCCGTTTCACACGCCACGCTGCACCTCCCGTTCGATCACAGGGCTCAGGCGAGAGGCACTCGCTGGCGGGTGCTATGTTTGGACAAGACGTTACCATCTCTGGTGCCGCACCGTCTCTGGTTCTGGCCTCTCGTTCCTCCACTTCTCACGTAATTCTCCTAATAAATGAGGCACCAGCATTTGAACCAATTGAACAACAGTGGAGTGTATATTTCAAGGGCAGCGTGTGGCTCAGTGGGCCTCTGTGTGCCTGTAATCACAAGGTCGTCGGTTCAAACCCAGCCTCAGCACGTCTGTGGGTCCTTGAGCAAGACCCTCAACCCCCAGCTCCCTGGGTGCCGCTACGGGTGGCTGCCCTTCGCGGACAGCTTACTCTACAAAGAGCAAGTTGAGGGAGGCGTAAAAACAATTTCCCCACGGGGATCAATAAAGTATCTATTATTATTATTATTATTATTCCATTCCCTACTGCACATCCTACAGTACGTTGAGAGCCAGAAATTCCGCAGCTTGATATATGAATGCCCAGGGTATCAGGGCACGCCCGTCCGCTTCTGCTGTCTGCAGTTGTCCTATAGCCTGTGTCTTGAGACCCTGTCTGTGATGACATTTGGTCAGCTTATGCCAGTTTAGTAACCACACCCAGAGACCTTTCGTCCCAATACGCACAGCTTCTCTTTTTACTATAAATAACCTTCCTGTGAAAATACCTGCTCTCTACAATGTTGAACACAATTGTTAATTCGAAATGCTTTAATTTTGGTTACATCTCCAAGTAGAAAATACCCAGTGGTCACTGCAGTTGAGTAAATTATATTAAACAGTTAAAACACATCTCAGCTGAAATGTTGGACTCAAAAGATAGAGCTCGGAGCCGCCTCGGTCAGGCCACAGTGTGGTCTCAGTGTGGTCTCAGTGAAGTCTCAGGACACGGTGAGGTCTAAGTGAAGTCTAAGTAAAATCTCAGTCAAGTCTCAGTGAGGTCTCAGTAAGGGCACAGTGAAGTATAATTGAAGTCTAGTGAAGTCTCAGTGAGGTCTCAGTAAGGGCACAGTGAAGTATAATTGAAGTCTAGTGAAGTCTAAGTGAAATTTTAGTTAGGTGTCTGTGAAGCCTCAGTAAGGACACCGTGAAGTCTAAGTGAAGTCTAGTGAACTATAAGTGAAGTCTCAGTGAGGTCTCAGTATGGTCTCATGTGATCTCAGTGAGGTTTCGGTAAGGACACGGTGAAGTCTAAGAGAGGTCTCAGTGTGATGTCAGTGTGGCCACAGTAACTTGTCATGTGATATCATTGAGGCCCCAATCTGGTCTTGGTGAAGTTTCAGTGAGGTTCAGGTGAGGCTTTGCTTTCACTCGGTCGTGTCCCAAAGGTGGGATTTCATTTCTCTGTCATAATGGGACTGTTTTCATGTAATGAATCTCATTGTTATCTGTAACACACAGGTAATCAGGGGCCTGGAGTGTCTATTTGTGTTTCTGTGTTTGTCTGAATGTGTGTGTGTGTGTGTGTGTGTGCGTGTGTGTGAATGCAGGCGTGCGTCAGTGTTTTGATACTGTACGTGTGCCCAGGGTGGGTTGGCTGTAATCAGATCGTGCTTCTTCTTGAAACACTACCTTTCTCTCATTACATGCTGGCAAATACTGCAGGTGGTAAGAGATTAGCCATTTCCATGATAGCAAAAAGAAAAAAAAAGCTAACGATTCAGTTATGAGCACACCGGTTTCAGTTCCTGTTGTGTCACCTGTTCTGTTCATCATTTAAACTGCCATGGAATGTGTAACTTAGTTTCACAGCTTTTACCTGAGGGGAACAGGATGCCATTTATAAGCAGGAAAAGTATCTGGTCAAATTGTAACCCAGAATCACACATAAACAGCAAACAAAAAGAAAACACAAATTGGACAAAAGTAAGATTTGGCTTAACTCCCATGGTTTCCATGGCAACAAGTGTTTTCTTTGTGTGGGCATTTGTTACGTTTTGTGTGGAAGCATTTATGCTTTTTTATGTCTCTCACAGTGGTAATCTGTTTACTTTGGTATTTTGTGAATTTCCTCTACACATTTTGTTTTGCCTGTTCGTTTGCATGGTGGTTCTTCATTTTGTTTACTTCTGATAGAGACTTCCCTTCGTGTTCGGATGAACTTCCAGTGAACTTATTAACCCAGAACTCAGCCTGTCGATTCATTCGTCAAACACTCCCCCCTACATGTCCGCCTGCTGGTCAAATGAGGCACATCTGATAGTGAACGTTGGCTTTAACACGTCGCATTACACCGCTGCCATGTTTAATGGGGCATATTGGCAGATATTTTTGCATTTTGGGCATATTTTTAATGGGCTTGTAGCACTGATTGCAAAATGAAGCAGGATGTGCTAAGGGGTGGGGCCACATGAGGCTGAAAGCTGATTGGCCCCCAAAATGCCTCCTCTCCTGTCATTCACCGATTCGAAACATATCATTGGCTGATGATAAGGATGGCCGTTACTATGTCGCCTACCTTAAAAAAAATCCTAGAATTGCCGATTAGATGTGCTTTCTCCCAAATCGGTCGTTCCCAGCTGTGCCTCTGTCTCCAATTCACGGACCAACTTTCATTTGCCCTCCATGCAGTAATTCCTCCCTGCAAACTTCACAGATGGCAGAGTTTCCGTTTGCCATTTGAAACGAGAATCACTAGCCTCAGACTCGCTAATTAACCTTTAGCATCCTTTATTTTAAACGCTACTATGGTTCGTCGCTACCTGTAATAAAAACAGCCCGGCGGTTTTTAAACTTTCACCTGATGACTGGAAATAGTTATTGTTTTGTAGGATAATACTGTCCTTTATTGTAATTCTCCATGCGTAATGATCTCTGAGAATGGGCGGCAGCTGGCCTGGACTGTAGCAATCTGTGCTCTTTCAGTTATAGTAACATTTTGATGTTTAACAAATTTTAAAAGATTACGCTAAAAGAGCATTTTTGCAAACTCACATTCAGTCGTTGCCTGGCATTCTGATCACCTATTTGTGTGAGTTAGCGTAATGGGATTTGTAAAGCATGACTGAAAAACGAAAAAAAAATAATGTAATATATAAATGAAAAATACAACTGAAATGAATATATTTGCAGAGGGAATAACTGAAAATACAGTCATGTGAAGTAGATCAGTGTTGTCTGCTGAGTAATTTTGCTTTTATTTATATATGGTGGTAGCTTTTTGTGTCTGTGTGTTTTGTGTCATCACCTTTAGGTTTCTTCCGAAAACACTAACTGAAACGAGGTACAGATGGGTGCTCAGGGCCAGCGATGCCGCTGTTTGGACAGGCCTGTGTGGGCGGAGCTTAAGCAGTGACTGGCAGCCATTTTAACGTGTGTGTGTGTCGGTTTTAAGTGCACAGACTGGCGTGATTTCATCGCACGTGCACCCGTGCATTAACGCTCGCATTCTCGTCCCTCGTTACACATCAGTTTTTCGTCATTTCACAGCTGCGGCCTGAAGAGTGGTTTTTTTTCTCCTTTATAATTTGTGTGTGAGCTGTCCTTAGTATATTAATGTACTTAGATATAGGTTCATGTTGATCAAGTCTGTGTTTGAATCCAGTCCCAGGAAGAAGTCTGCGATTTGCTTCATGCTGCCCCCTTTCAAAACATCCTTCCTAGAGTTTACATTAAAGGTATTTATTCCTTATCTTATCTTACCTTACTTTACCTCACCTTCTCACATAAAACATGGAGCACCAGAAAAACAACACCAACAATTGTTGTTATTATTATTGTTGTTTTTATTATTGTTGCTTGGGTGGTGCACTGGTTAGCCTCACACCTGTGGGACATGGGTTCAAATCTCTGCCATTGTTCTGTGTGTGGAGTTTGCATGTTCTCCCAATGTCATCGTGAGGTTTCCTTTGGGTAACCACGGTTCCCCCTCCCCACCACAGTCCAAAAACATGCTGAGCTTAATTGCAGTTGCCAAATTGCCTGTGTGAGTGTGCCCTGCAATGGGTTGGCACCCCATCCTGGGTTGTTCCCTGCCTTGTGCCCATAGGTTCCAGACTCCCTGCAACCCTAAATCGGCTAAGCGGTTGCAGAGAATGGATAAATGGGTATTATTGTTGCTGCTGTTATCAAATGTGTAATAAAGTATGTCTTGGAGATTTGTGTACTGTTCAGGGTTCACTGTTCTGTCATCATTATTTTGTGCAGAGGGGGAGCGTCTCGATGTGCGGATGAAGAGGCTGGAGGCAAAATATGCCCCCCTGCATCTGGTACCCCTGATAGAAAGATTAGGGACACCGCAGGTGAGGTCGGTCTTTCCCGACGTTCCCCTTTTTTTTCCTCTACGCCCATCTCTCTCGTTCTCGCAACGGCTCTCGGGTTCACGACGGCTCGGCCTTCCGCGGGTTTCATGGCGCGGTGAGCGTGTGCGTGCCAGGAAACGGACAGCGGAGTAGCGAGTGTGAGCCGGGGAGCTGGGGGCTGCGTCGCTAGATCCGGGCGTTTTTCTGGGAAAGCCGGAGAACTGGTTTGTTGGGAAAGGCTGTGGGGATGATGGCATGCACATTTTCCCAGTGCAGAAGCATTAGAGGCAATAAAAAAAAACAGGTTTGACTGGAAGTAAATTGCATAGCAGCTGTGAGGGGGCTGGTTAGTTACTGAAGGCCCGTGCAGCGTGATTACTTTGTACCGTAAGATAACTGACGCTGAACCCTGACTAGTCGTACTGTTTCCATTAACCTAGATTTTGTGCATTTTGCACAGATGCAGACTGGAAAGCCATTAATGGAAACACTCAAGTTTCGTAAAAATATCGCAAAAAAGTTTTTATGTCCCTTTCATATGACTTTTATAGTTTAAAAAGAAGTTATTTACAAAATTGCAATGGAAATTAAATTTGCGAATTGGTTGATATGTGGAACATGATCATTAGTTCTTCGAGAGCTTTCGCTTACAGAAAGCCTGTTCCATGTTGAAGTATGAGACACGCATAGTAATCCCATACTTGTTTTCATTGGTCATTTGGCATACTGGGAATTTTCCCAGTGGACCAATGCATATGTGGACTGGTAAAATGTATCATGTGGTACCCCAAGGTCCAGTCTAGGGCCCATTTTTATTGTCAAGCCAGCCCTGATCTCACGGGATGATAAATGGCAAGTATGATTCACTTGACATCTGCTACAAGAAACACAACTTGTTCACAATTTTACTTAATCACAGTTTCACTATGTTGCCTATAATTTGAACAAAACTGAATCTATCGCTTTTAAATGTGTGAAATCTGATGCTTTCAGCTGCTGAATGAAGAGGTCTTGCTAAGGTTTTCCACCCCAGAGCTGCAGATGGACCTTTTGAGAAAAGGTTTTTTTTTTTAGCCTGACCTTTCTTCACAGAGTCCTCAAGCCCTCCCTGCCTAGAGTAGCTTGCCCTCTTTTTCTCACTGTCTGGGGGGGGGGCGTTGGCACATGGGTCCCCTTAACATGTATTTTCAGCTGCCAGACTCTTATACTAACAGCTTGCTTTCAAAGGTCCTCCTGTATTGTGTAGAGCATAGCCAGAAATTCTGGGCCCCCTGTCACCTTGTCTCCCTCCAACCCCACAGGGGAATTTGCCAAGTAGATGTGTAATATTTCCCAAGTGTATACATAACTGGTAACCAACTGGAAGAGTGAAATTGATTTGAATCTGCATCAAGTGATCGATCATCCACCATAGATCCAGCTGGTTATTTGTGTATCTTTAAAAAAAATTTGCATGCTTGATGGAATTTAGCCCCCAGGGGACATTATAATTCTTCCTATATAGGGCCCCTGATAAGTTCTGGACCCCCTGAATCTGCCAGGGTATACATGAATCTGTAATGGTCCTCATGTCCCTCTGACGCCCCTGGTATTGTGTTCACAGCTTCATAACCTTGGTGCCATAAAATAGCTGCTATTCGCAGTCATCGGTAATGACCCACTTTCCCCCTGCGTCCGGCTACAGCAAATCTCCATCGCCCGTGAGGGGGACCTGCTGACCAAAGAGCGGCTGTGCTGCGGCCTCTCCATGTTCGAGGTGATCCTGACCCGCGTGCGCAGCTACCTTCAGGACGCCGTGTGGCGCGGCCCCCCCCCCACCAACGGCGTCATGCACGTGGACGAGTGCGTGGAGTTCCACCGCCTCTGGAGCGCCATGCAGTTCGTCTACTGCATCCCCGTGGGAACCCATGAGTTCACGGCGGAGTAAGTACCCCTTCGCTACTACCCGGGGGCCGAGGCATCAGAAGTCTGTTTATTGTAAAATGCCTCTGAGATTTAAGACTCATTTATATTTCTGCGTCGAGGCTACGCCGTGACCTACAGAAATGGCCAACGCTGTTGCAAGCATTTATACTTGTGCGCTGGTGTGTTTGTGTCACTCAGCAATTATCCCGCTAAAACACCATGTGATACATAGTTTTTGGATGTTGTATTTATTGTCTTCCCACCCTGCGATTTATACAAACAGTTGTTGAATCATGCAATTGAAACAAACAAACAAACAAACAAAAACAAACATTTAACAAAGTATCTGTTAGTGGAATTCTGGTTACATTTGTGCTGCTACATACTTACCGCAGACAAATTTGGCCGCTACAAAGTCACTCTTTATGCATTTTCCCTTATAAAGTTAGTGCCTGTACTACTTTTTACTTTCATAGTCTCATAAAGTACGAATAAACTTAATGGGGGTAAGTGAAATCGGCGCTGGCATCCTGAGTGTTTTGTAGATCTGTTGCTATGATACCTGGGGGGGTGGTATTTAATGCTAGATATAAATAGCACTTCAGTTTCAATTAGCGATATAAGCACACCTGGGAAGTACGCTTTCTTCGCTCCCATTAAAAAAAAAATTAATTAATACTACAAGCAGACCAATCACAGTTCTTGTGGTCTGCTTCACTGCGACGTGTAGCTACTTTTCTGGGGAGGAGCGCGTCGGGCTGTGGCGTGGGTCCACAGCGATGTCGTACTTACAGCAGCGATTCGACGCAGAACCATAAATCGGCCTTAAGACTGAGAGCAGGCTTTCGGTCTTCTGATTGGTCTTCTGCAGACGACCAATCAGATCAAAAGATCACTGGATTTATATTCGTTGCCTGACCCCCCTGCTGCGCTCTCTCGTCCGTCTGAGCAGGCAGTGCTTCGGGGACGGCCTGAACTGGGCCGGCTGCTCCATCGTGGCGCTGCTCGGACAGCAGCGGCGCTTCGACCTCTTTGACTTCTGCTACCACTTGCTGAAGGTGCAGAGGCAGGACGGCAAGGACGAGATCATCAAGAACGTGGTGCGTTTGTATATATGTACACAGGCTCACTGCACACTATCAGCACACACAGTACAGCACTGGACAAAAGTTTGGACACACTTACCCATAGAAAGCTTTATTTGTACGCTTCTCTTTATTTTAGAATAATTTTACTCATCAAAACTATAAAATAACATATATGGAATTGTGCAAAAACAATAATAATTTGTTGAGGGCAGCTCTGTGGGTTGGGACTCAGAAGGTTGCTGGTTCAAATCCCATTGTCAGCAGAGTGATCCCATCATGGAAACCATGAGTGAGGCCCTTAACCCCAATTGCTCCAGGGACTGACTGACCCTACTGTCTCCTCTACGCCGTTTCATGTCCTGAAAGAGGTCCCACATATAAGCTGAGCTCTCATTGGCTGCTTTTCCATCACTCTCTGGTCAAACTCCTCCAAAACCATCTCTAACTGTGTTTAGGTCAGGCGGCCAGGTCATGTATTCAGGCAACGCAACACTATCACTCTCTTTTGTAGGAGGTTTGGCGTGTCCAAACCTTTGACTCAGATTTGTCTCAGATTGCTTTTGTACATTGTTAACTAACCACGGCGCGACATACAGGCAAGGAGTGACAATAAAAGCAGGGATTCACAATTTAAGAACTGCAAGAATACAGGACAGTGCAGAACAAGGGGGGCTGGACTTAGCACTGTATATTCATAGTGCAGGAATGTGTAATCAGTGGTTCCTAACAAACAGTGTGGCGACTGTTTGTGTAGAGCACTGTCACTCAGGCACTGTCTGCCAGACACCCTCACGCTACAATGCATGAATGAATCACGGTACTTTTCTAAACGGGAGTGGTGATGAATCAGTGTTCAGGCGTCTGTTAAAACCTGTTCCTTCAGCCAGCATACATGGGAGGTGTACATCTCTCGCCCGAAATGGAACAAAAGCTGAATCACCAAGTCTTCTTTATGAAGAAGACAAAGCACAGATATCTCTTGTTTTGGAACCATTCACTAAGGATTGAAGAGCACATTTCCACAGCTCAGCCCGCAGGATATGTTTTTGAAAGTATTTCTGTGGAGCTAATCAGTTTTGGAAATTTAACGAAAGTTCTTGGTTGGATTACATGAGGACTGAGTGATAGTTGGGACCCAATACTGAGACTTGATGACGAAATATGAGTCTAGTTCACTGGTTCCAGTGCCGTGAACTGACAGCTGCAAATAGCTGCTGGTGCTCAGGCACCTTTACTGCCTGTTGCGGTCTCAGCTCAAAACCAGTTAAAAATTGACTTAGTGAGTTTTGGAAACGTTGCTCTTCAGTTGTACAATATAAAACATAAAAAGAGTGGTTCAATAAAATAAATATGGACAACAGGGTAAATATATAATTATGGTGGCACTAAAACGTCGTTCTCCCCCTTCCAGCCCTTAAAGAAGATGGCAGACCGCATCAGGAAATACCAAATCCTGAACAACGAGATATTCGCCATACTGAATAAGTACATGAAGTCCGTGGAGACAGACAGCAGCACCGTGGAGCATATTCGATGCTTCCAGCCTCCCATACACCAATCCCTGGCCACCACCTGCTGAGGCGGCTCTCGTGGAGGAATGAACATCCTTCAGCGACATGATGGGATGGATTCCAGGCGCTCCATCCATCCCTGTCTGAGGTGGAACATCTCATGGACGTGGCAGCCATTGGCCATGGGACGAGTGACTGGAGCGACCAAGTCGTCTGTTACCCCCCCCCCCCCGGCTCTCCATGGGGTCGTGTTTAATGATCCGTAGCTCCATATTTCAGTTTCACATCCTTCACCTTACTCGTCCTGGTTCATAAAACGTGCCATTCTTTGGACATTGAAAAATAATCAGCCCCTAAAGCCGTCCTTGGTTTCGGTTAGTGCGTTAGCATAAGGGGTGGTTCGCAGCCATTTCATAAAAATATGAAAATTACCTAGCTAGTCAATTTCCACGTAATTTTGGAAGCATTTCCCGAAGTCTGAATGCAGCAGGGAGAGGAGAGGCAGACAGGTAGAGGAGACAGTAGCCGAACTCTGTTTAAAATGGGAAATAAGCACAGGAACTGTGAAAGTATTGGTGAAGAGTTCATTTGCCATTTTGTAAAGCGCTTGTGATTACTTCCATATTGTAAGTGCACCCAGTTCTATGCTGTACGTGACATGCAGGGGTCACAGGATGCAGGTGCCTGGGGGGAAAATCACGACCTCTGCTTTTCTCTTTAGTGTCTTCAGTGTAAATTCACCTTGACGTGTGACGACGTGATGTGACCGTGCAACAAAGCAGATTGCTCTTGGTTCAGGCGAATTCCTAAGGGCTTTTGTTTCTAAGGGGTATATTTGATTTTCCGTATTATTTACTATATATGCTCTGAGTAATTCGCCCAGGCATCCTTAAATGAAAGGCCTGCAAAACTCAGTATTTTACCCGACTAGCATTGTCTCATTCCTGCTGCATTTTGTTTTTTCTATATTTCAATAAATATCATCTCCGAGACACTACATTGAAAGGTTAATTTTTACAATTCTGGCTTACACACAACTGTCTCTATAGCTCAGCAGTGTTTAAAACAAAATATATTAATTTATGAAGTCAACTGAATTTTTTAAAAATGTTTTTTGATAACCATTCTAAATGCATGCTGTTGTGGAAGTCTTGTCTGTAAATTGTGTATCCAGTCCGTTCCTTACTTATGCTTTCTGTGTCTTTTGAAGTTGTTTCGGGGTGAATTGATGAATAAATAATGCTTCATAGTACCATGAATGGTTGAAGGAATTATTTATAGAAATTAAGCTGAGTTACTTTCTGTGGTCGGTGCAAATCGCCAACCCGATGAAGTTGTAATGTTGTAGAAGTGACTTCGGTGTAAGAAGCTCCCGAGAAAATTGTGTAGTTATGGTGAAAGTCTATGAACCAGGACTCACTAGCTATTTGACGTCATGGCGGCTTTTCCAACAGCTCTTTCGGTCAATGTGACGTCTGGCCGTGCGACCAGGAATCGGGGAATGAAGGTCGGGAAGTCCAAAACATGGGATTTATTGGGGAAAACGGGCTACAAGGACACGACACGGTACAAATCTGGGTAAACTGACTTGGATGCAGACTGAAATACACAGGATTAAACAGGCAAAACAAGAAACAGCTGGTTACAAGCGGGACTGGACACGAGGTTAATGAGGGGGCGTGGCACACAGGAGGATCGTACGAGCAGCTCCTAACAGCCAACATGTGCAGTGTCAGTATAAAACAATAGCTTTCAGTTACTGCGTAACCATATCAATATTTGCCCACCCCATCCATTCATGTTTCCTTTCTGTTTCAGGCCCTGCAGGGAGCCTGGACTCAAATCTGCCCGTAATTATCTTTCAAATCATGTAGCTACATCAATTTGATATATTTTACATAAAGACAGCGGAGTAAGCATCAAACCAAGCTTTGTTCTGCATATTTTCTGCATTTTGCATTTTCTCAGATTTTATTTCCTAAATGTGAAACATCTTATTCTTCAGCTAAATATGTGGAAGAAATTATTCTAAATTATTTGCTAATTATAATTAAGTTTCTGGTACATTTAATGCTTATATGCAGAAAAATGGTTTACATTAAGGAGTAAGTTTTAAGAGGCTTTGTAAATGTTTTGTTTTGTTAGTTTACAAAAGAGAATAAGCCTATAGCATTATTATGACATATGTGTACATCAGCTGTAACTGTTAGACTAATAATCTGGTGTATCAGATATCAGGTTTAGTTCATTATAAAGTTTCTTTTCTTAGGTTGTTTACACCGTTATAGTTAACGGGACAAGAAAGATGAACAATAAAGCACTATGCAGCCATCATCCCGCATTACAGGACGCGTCACATTTTTCTCTGAAACTGGTTGAGCTGAAAACTGGGATGTGACAAGGCAAGAAAGGACAGGCTTTCGGTCGTAACGCGCCAGGCCTCACCAAGTTACCATTATCTGTCTGCACAAATACAGGCTTTCAAGTCTATACAAGCTGACAAAGACTGAAAAGAGCAGCTCAAATACAGCATTGGAAGAAATTAAGAGACAAAGGCAAAAAAGTTTTGTTTCACTCATTTCTCACTATGGGTGTGCATCTGTGAATAATATATATATTTCTTTTGCAAACTCCAGCCTGGCTCTTCCCTGCTTCTCATTAATGAAGGGCTTCTTCCTTGCTTTATGGGACTTCAGTCCTGCTTCTGATATGAACTGTCCTAGCAGTGCAATTCACACCTGCACTTAATGTTTCCCATTCCTTTTGAAGGTCACTTGATGTGATCTTATGATTCATGACAAACTGTCGGGTAAGTTGACAGTCATCTCTGGCATTATTAAGTTGCTTCTGCCCTCTACCTGGCTGGTTTCTGCTTCACCTTGTTCTTGTTTACTTCTGACTTAGAAACGTTGAGCCTGGAATCAGCCTGACGCTCAGTGTAGCCTCTGCCAGCAGGACCAGGATTAAACCAGGATTTTAAAATGCAGGTTAAAAAATAATAATATGGAGTGGCTTCTTATTTTTTCAAGAGCTGTACATGTTTTCTTAAGAGACTCCTTTGTATGTTTGCAACAATTAATTACTTTTTACAAATTGCATATAATGTACACAGAAGTAGCGGAGATTCACGTGCCTTTCGTCTCTAGGGCAGGGAAATCTGCAAACTGACTGGCCCTCCAGGGCCGGAATCCGGCAATCCTGTCCCGGGGCTTCACAGTCTCCGGTCTGCTGACCGCTACTGGTTTGTGGCCAGTATTTCACCGAGCCGGGGAAGGCTAAAGTTAAGAAATCGCCGTAGGCTCGACCTACAGATCCCAGTCCGGGTCCGCGAACACGTGGGAGCCTCCAAGGTGCGGGGGTGCGCGAATTTTATTACATATTTGAGTGTATGAGGTCACCGCGGGCAGCCAATCAGAGCGCGGTGGGGCGTGGCTGGGCGGGGCGTGGCGGCACGTCAGGTGCGCTTCACCTGAACGGGGCCGGACTCTTATTTATCTCCTTCTGCTTCTCTGTTCTTGGCTATGGGGCACACTGGAGACGCGGCTGGGATTACGTTGAAGACCCAAGAGGAAAACGCTCTGTTCTTTACCCGCAACGCCAGTATATCCAGGGGGATTTTTTGCTAAAGCAGATCATCGGTCAATTTTTTGCAGCCTTTCTTTCTTGTATTATTATGCATGCTAGATAACTTTCGTATCTATAAAAGACGAACAGGGAAGATGTTTCAGGGTGTTTATATGTCAAATGATTCTTGCAGTAACGGTGAGTTGTTGGATCCGTTCTAGTTTGTTTTTATGTTTTAAATCTTAATGACCAGCTTTTTGGTCTATGATTTAAGGTTATGAGGACTGTGAGAACTTAAATTTAGAGAAGCTAATAGTCGGAGATTTTAAAAAAGATATACTGGCTTCATAATCACCCTTTAGCGAGAATCTTAAGGATCGATTGTGAATGTTTATTTATGTTTATTTCGCTTTAAATTGTGGCGGTCAGGCTTCGAACGGATTTAAATGGTTTCGTGAGTAGTGCTGAAGAATGAATTAGTCTGAGGTATCGTAGTCTGGACACATTTGCTACAACATTTGACAACATTTGCCATAATGTTTAAAAACCCAAGGCCACTTGACCGGTCATGCCCTGCGTTTTGTTCTCTTTATGTTTACCAACTTCCACACTCGGTTTCCAAAAACTAGTTTTTCGCGTGCTGATCTCCTGAGGTGGGTAGTCCTCCCTCAGGAAATACGAGCCCTTTGGTCAGAACAGCACATTATATTGACAGGGTAAATACTGCAGCCCAGTTCCGCTACGAGACAGTAGACATGTACGCAGGGTTGCCAGTTTTGGGCAGGTGGTTGGTGCGAGATTTTCAATTCGCGAAAAGTCTGCACACGCATTTACATGGATGTAACAGTTTTATTACTTTGCAAATAGTTTGTAGGTTTTGAAAACTTCCCCAACGCTTTCGATGTGGCTAATTTTAGGTTTGTAATGGAATAATATAGATTTGCCGTAAGATTCCTTGCATGAGTCTGAGAGTCTGAAAGCGTGAGTTCCACGCCAGATGCGTGAGATCTGGCAACCCCGTGTATAGAGAATTGAAAGGTATCGGTATTTATATATGTATAATTTCAGGTAGCTCACCTATAAGTAAAAGTCACTAGCAGTGTGAGAGGCGGTAACAACACCCCTTGTACAGGTGGAGATATTAAAATTTAGAGAATTATATCTCTAAATATTTACTATTTCTTAAGGTCCAAAGTGCAGTTTACCAAACTGGATTCAACAACATGAATTAAAAACTGGCTAGTTTTGAGTTTCTATGAAAAACATTCTTCGTCTAATCTTATTATATTGATATGCAATTTTATAACTAGAATCCCACATTTTTATATTGTATCATATAAAATTTATATGGGTTAAAATAATTCTTGTTTGTGTAATGAATGCGAGACCAGGTGTGTAAACAAAACTTTGGCCATGAAGCACTGCTTCACTTTTCTGGCAGCTGTGTTTCCTGATTTACGCGTAGGGGAATTTTGGCTGTACTCGTACAGCAGATGCACAAACTGAAACGGCACCTGTTTGTCAAGTGGTTCCAGACTGAGTCTGCACTCGAGGTTGTCGCGAGTGATGAGCGGATACCTCAGAGATGGTGTAGTCTAACTTCTGCTGGTGCTTGATGTAAGAGACACTGTGTAGTTTTTAACACTTGACCATTGCTGTTGACTGGGTGTTGTCCAATAAGATTATTTGCAGCTTAAGTCAGTAGTGTCTGCCTTGGTTGTAATGATTTGACAGTATATCACATATTTTTGTGCAATTTAATGGGAAATTTTCCCAGGAGTCAATTATTTAATAGACAACGCTGTATGACATTATTTTGCTGAAGGTGTCGATGTCAAATTAAAGGGTGAAATTTTATATTTTGTTTTCACTGTTCTTCCAGACACGTTTCTGCGGATGCTGTGCTCGTCCCGCTCTGTTGTCTGTAGTGTCGGCAAGGAGATGCTCCCTAATGACACCCTTGGTGACAGAAACAATGTCACTGACATGGAAGTTCATACTCCGGTGGATAAATGGAACAACTACGAATTCTGGATTGGCTTGTCCCTGGCTGTGATGTCGGCCTTCCTCATTGGAGGAAGTGTCATTCTGAAGAAGAAAGCCCTCCTCCGATTATTAGGAAAAGGAGAACCTAGAGCAGGTGTGTGTGTGTATGTGTGTGTGTGTGTGAGAGAGAGAGATTATCTAGGGCAGGGCTCATAGATGTAAGGTACAGTACTGTGCAAAAGTCTTGGTCAGATAATTAAAGCAATATGTCTGGCTAGTAAGTGTATTTTCTCAAAAAAAAAAATATATATATATATATATATACACAATTTCAAATGGAAATATATGTTAAGGTAAGAGTAACAATGAAAAATAGACAAGGATCTCTTCCATTATTCAAAAAAGTTACTAGTTAAAAAAAAAGAGTGGTTAGATACTGCTTCAGTTCCTATACCCCCCCCCCTCCTCCTCGGGGGCACCTCAGCCATTCTATGTATTTGTTACATTTCACCACCATCTCAATTAATTGAATTTGATAAAAAAAAAAATCAAAAATCAATATCTCATTGACTAGTTATATGCAGTATGCCAGTGACTGAGTAAAAAAATCTGTGGGTGTATTGCATCATTGCTGCAAATACTGGGGTGAATTTAGGAGAGGCTTTTAAATTTGAAAGCTAACAATATCATAGTTTTACACCAACATGAAGATCATTTCATCATTTTTTGACCGTCTAAGACTTTTCCTCAGTACTGTACGTGAGATATTTTCCATGCCGTGGCACACATTCATTTGTGATTCAGCCAGTGAGGTCGTGATATCTAAATGAGGAACATTTTCCCATATTGTAACTGTTCCTGATATTTCATGCAAATGTATCTCTTAAGTTTTTTTTTCGCTGGGCAATTCCATGCAAAGTTCTCTTTGATGGCATATCCGTAACACTAGATTTGCCCAGCTATAAAGATAGTGGTACTTTATTTTATCATCTAGTGCCAAGACTAACCTGTAAACTGATGCTTATCCACTGGAATATACCTTTCTAAAGAAAATGGCCGCAGATTGTGTTTATTCAGGAGGCATCTAGATTGCCGAGTGAGGTGATTATGGCTCTGATCGTGTTGCTTTGTCCAGGCGACGGTGGTCATGGGTATTTGAAGGACTGGTTGTGGTGGGGAGGCCTCCTTACCAGTAAGTTTCACCAGTCACACCATTCCAAACACTACAGGAAAATACTGTCGGTGTATTATGAGTTCTTGCTCATGGTCATTATATAATTTGTTGTTCTTCTTCTCCAGTGGGTGCAGGAGAGGCTGTGAATTTCGCCGCCTACATGTTCGCCCCTGCTACTGTGGTGACGCCTCTTGGGGCCCTAAGTGTGCTAATCAGGTAACCGCACCCAGCTCCCTGCTCACGCAGTCCGCAAGTACCCCATTGGCGCAACTGACAAACCGCGTTTATTACGCCTTCAACGCTTCACGTATTCATCAAGTACCGTTCGGTATGTCATTTTCGGTTCGGTGCACACAGTGAAACGAATGAATACAAAGTCAAAATATCGACCCATCGTAAAGAAAGGAGCGTCTGTATTGGCTTACAAGGCCAAACTCGATACTAGAGAACAGATGGTATAGTTCATTATGGTTCTTTTATTATAGTTTATTTCTTTTACATAATTGTTTTTGCAATGTGCAAATAAACATCTCTTAAGTTTTGTTATTAAGACATGCTGTTAGACATATTGCCTTTATATTGCAACGGTTCCCAGTTTGTGTTTTGAAGTTTTAATAAAAAGTAATTGAAAAACAAGTTTTATCTGTTTTATCTGCTGGACTGAAATTGCACCGAACCATGAGCCACAAACTGGGGTTTGTGCCGAAGTGTGAGTTTCGTGTACCGTTAAACTCCTACGATTTACCTATATGGGCACACCATATACCACCAATTCCTCTGAAGAACAGGGGCCAAACTTTTGGTTCTCTTGTAGTCAGGAGTGGGCCCTTCTGATGTTGAGTAAGTTGTGATTTGGGAAGCTTTCAAACGATGGCGCCCAGTGCAGTGTGGGGTGCCCAGTGCAGTGTGGGGCGCCCAGTGCAGTGTGGGGCGCCCAGTGCAGTGTGGGACGGGGCTGTGGCTCTGCAGCCCATTGTTGATATCGGCTGTGGCTGCTTTTAACAGTGCGCTGCTGTCCTCCTACCTGCTGGGGGAGTCACTGAACCTTCTTGGAAAACTGGGCTGCATCCTCAGTCTGCTGGGAAGCACCATAATGGTGATTCATGCTCCAGAAGAAGAAGAAGTCACTACTCTGCAGCAGATGGCTCAGAAACTCCTTGATCCTGGTAGATAAAATATGCTGTGTATATATGTGTGTCTGTCTGTGTGTCCAAGTACAGTATATGGGCAAATGTATTGGGACACCTGGTCATTACATCTACAGGAACTTTTATAACATCCCATAGGCATCAATATGGAGTTGACCCCCCCATTTGCAGCTATAACAGCTGCCACTCTCCTGGGGAGGCTTTCTACAAGGTTTTGGAGTGTGTCTGTGGGAATTTTTGCTCATTCATCCAGATGAATGATGCCTATGGATTTAGAATGGGATGTCATAGACGTTCCTGTAAGTGTGATGACCTGATGTTCCAATACCTTTGTCCATAGAGTGTATGTACACGTTGACCTGTATTTTCCATTCCGTCAGAAAATGGCTGAGTATGACGAAGTATTGTGAATAAGACTAGTCAGTCGTTCAAAGATAAGATTTGTGAGTTATGTGAATTTCATGACTGCAACGTACTCCTTTAGCAAACAATAAACTGGCAGACCTTAGCATCCTCCGCAGGATGGAATTTCTCATTACATCTGAAAATCACAACCGTTATGTTCTCATATATTCAACTTCCCGCGTGATTCAGAGTACTTCTGAAGACCTTGGTTTTGCCTCAGTGAGTAGACCATTGATGTTATCCATTTAGTGATTCTTTCCTTGAATTATTTAAAACAGTTGAGTTAGACCCAGTACTTGGACTTCGAGTTTGTGAACTGGGAGCTGAATATAGATCCAGGAGAAGGTACTTCAGATAATCAGCTGCATGACCATTGGAAAGCCGATGACATTCCCTTCAGCTCTACACCCTCAAACATCTCAGCAGACTTGGGTCATCTTTGGTGAATTTATGTAGCTGAAATAAGGTCAATACCTGCACTGTAAAATTAAAATAACGTAACATGGAATTGGTTAAAAGCTATAAAACAATTACATGTAGGATTATTACTAAGCACATTGTATGTCTAATAAATTATAAAAATACTGCGAAATATTAGACTTCTCTGCTTGTCCAAATGTCAGATATTAAATATCGTGTCATATGCAGCTTTTTGATGAATAATGTCACAACCAAATAACTGCGTATTTATGCATATTTCCCATAACAAGGAAATAAGGGAGGTGTGCTTACTGTGGTGCATGTTGACCTTTAGCAGGTCTTCCACTAAGAACCTTCCTAATCTCGTTGCTGGTTCTCCACAGGTTTCCTGGTCTACGCCAGCATCCTACTGGTGGCCTGTCTGATCCTGATCTTCTACTTTTCTCCACGGGTTGGTCAGACCAACATCTTGGTGTACATTGGTATCTGTTCCTTGCTTGGCGCCTTCACGGTCTCCTCCGTCAAAGGCTTGGGCATTGCCATCCGTACCACCTTCTCCGACCCTACTGTCTTGCGTCACCCGCTCACTTGGGTTCTCCTGTGTTCGCTGGTGGTCTCCATCATCACGCAGGTCAACTTCCTGAACAAGTCCCTGGACATTTTCAACACGCTGCTGGTCTACCCCATCTACTATGTGTTCTTCACCACCGTGGTCCTGACCACCTCCGTCATTCTCTTTAAGGAATGGGGCGCCATGTCTGGCGTTGACGTGGTGGGGACCATCTGCGGATTCCTTGTCATAGTTCTAGGAGTGGGCATGTTGCATATCCTGCGGAATGTGAACGTTACGCTGAGCAGTCTGAGAAGCAGTATCCGTGTGCAGCGAGGTGAGGCGCAGAAGGACATAGTGGAGGACAAACGTGTCCTCATAGAAAACATAGACTTTTTGTCTCCTGTAAAGGACGATGCACCGCGAGTCTTTATCATCAGCTGAGCGGCATTTGATGAACCATGAAGCTGTTTTAATGTAAATATGTGAGCTTCGCTCTTTACTCTAGCTTAGCGTCCTGCTACTGCTGATGGCTTTTGCCAGTGAAGCATGACAGCATTCGTAGCGCTGCTTCATCGTGATAGATGCAACCCCCGCAGCCAAAGGTATTTCCATTATTCTGGTGTCTAGTGAATGTATTTAGGTAATTTGTTTGTCTGTTGTTTATAGACATGTTAGGGGTTTTCCTACCAAATCTGGCAAACTAATTGCCTCTTCTCAGACTGAGATCTGATTAGTTTGTACTGGTTTTTGCGCTAACTTGACGTTCGCTGTGGCTAGCTCTTTCTGCCAGTAAATTTAAGACTTTTTAATTTGTACAGATTTTCGTAAGGAAACTTTTATTTGAGAATACCACAGGTGTGTCTTCTTTGACTAAATATATGTCCATTTAATTGTTTATGATACTAATGTTCATTGTATGCTTATGTATGTTATGTACTGTCAAAGAACACTAGATTTATATGTTTTCTTCCTGACTTTTAATATGTAGCACTATATATTTTATGGAGGACAAAATATTTTTAAGGAATGGATTTTACACATAGCAAATCTATTTTTATTCTTTCAGGTTTCATCTACCTGAAATGCACAATTATGTCGCTAATTGCAGCATATGAATTCAGAAATAGTATTTTTTTTATCTTGGATAATGGCATCTCTTCATTGATAATGGCATTTCTTTAAAGTTATTTGTAGGGTTTTTCCAATTTGCAGACAATCACAAAAACATTTGTTTTGTAGATGTCTTAAAGACATAATTCTTGTCATTTGGGAGTATATACGTAAAATCTGTTTAACAACTTGCAAAGTTAAATGAGATGAGGGCTCAAACTGTGGATGTTTATATTTTTAACTGAATGTATCTAAATGAGAGCCCAGTGGATCTTTTGAATACTTTGTATGCGTTTTTATTAATTTTCTGGAAACAATATATCTTGTCTCCCCTTTGAATTGTGCAAAATTTTACAGATTTAGATGTTATGTTTGTGTAACACATTTCCGGAATATTCCTGCTCCATTGTGGTCTGGGATTCATTGATACGGTCATTATTTTATTTGCCTATAAAACCAATTTCATTTTGATGATAGTGATTTATTTATTCTAACTGCAAGTAATCAGACGGTTGCAATTGCAAAACCCTTAGAAAAGTGAAAACAGATGCCCCCTTGTGGACACAAGTTGTCATGAGGGTGTTCTCCATCCATCCATTTCCTGAAACCACTTACTCTCTTCATGGTCATGGGTGTTCCAGGGCAGGGAACAACCCATCTCATGCAGCATTCACTCACCCACGTGCAATTTGGTAACTCCAATTAGCCTCAGCATGTTTTTGTAGGGAGGAAACCCCACAATGTCATGGGGAGAACATGCAAACTCCACACATGTAGAAACCCACCAGAGACTTAAACCCAGGTCCCAGAAGTGGGAGGCAACAGTGCAAATGACTGTGCCTCCTCCACCTGTATTTTCATCCATTAAAATATTTGCACAGGATGCATCTCTGCTTCTCTGTTCCATTCACAAGCCAGCTTGTGCTTTGTGTCGTGATAGTTTGTCATCGCTTGTAATACATACAGGATCCTCGTACATGTGACTCCCGAGAAGGGAAGCGAGGCAAAACGATCGTGTGTTTTAATTGATTTTTATTTCTTAACAAAAATAAACACCGGGATCGCCTGTAATTTTCATTTTCACGGGATGATTACGAGTGAATTCTTGCAGAGGTGTGTGTCGTCGTTAACGTTGGTGGCTGTGGAGGCGCGGGAGTCCCAGGTCTCAGTCCCAGGTCTCAGTTACAGTATTTCTCCAGGTCAAAAATATTGCATGGCTTGTGGCAGCACTGCTCCACGATCCCCCTCTTCACCTTCATCTCCGCCTGCTCTTTGTAGCGGTACTCATCAGCTTCATTCTCTGGGCCTGATTTTGGAGATAGGAAGCCTGCAGAGATCAAGATTAGCCTAGAATATCGCTCACCAGGTGCAAAGAATTGATTATAATTGTACCTTTTAATAAGAAGTGCTCTAGGGGGGGTGGTCATTTGGGACTCATTTAAATTTAACGCTTTTCTTGCTGAAGCACTGCTTTATAAATTGGCCATTTACTTCTATTGACGATGCTTAAATATATGACAAGGATTTTTTATGCGTTTTAAGTGCGGAATATTTGCTGAAGTGTGGTTTACTCGTTAGACCTTGAATTTAATTGAAAGTTCTCAGTGTTGAGAGAAGAACGACTAAAACAAGCTGATGTGGCTCAACGTGTCAAAGTCGGTGTCATCTTACCAAGTAGGGAGTCCACATCTCTTTTAGTGTCGGGGTTGAAGAAGAAGCCGCGTTCCCCGCACACCAGGAAGAGCGCTTCCACCAGGTGCGAGCCACACAGGTGCTGGTTGGCGGCGGCGTCGGCCCCCGGGGAGGACAACACCAGCAGCAGGAGCAGAGGGAACGCCTGAAGCCACGCCGCCATGACGCTGGGGAGCTGAGAGGTGAGACGCACGGTTACACATCCCTGCTCGTTTACCGCACCAAACCAGCCTCTCCCTGCCCTGAGGAAACCATCCAGAGTTTGAGCTCGGGGACCAGATCAGACGGTACAGAGGCCCTTGGCTGCCTGGATTCGGACGTTTATCAAAAGGATCCGGAGAGCAGCAAACATTTTAAATTGGCCCAGCAGTGCCTCTGCTTTGGGAACGAGCGGTAATCGTGTTTTAAGGATGATGTCTTGTGTTATATTAGCACTAAAGCATTTTTCTCTATTTACTGAAAACATTCTGCTTTCCTGTCGGATTCCTCACCTGTACATTTGGATCAGGGGGGTTTAGGAGACAGAAACTCAATGTGGAAATATGTGTTTCACAGGCAATTTAGAGTCAAAGGAAACAACACAAATAATGCAGGAAGCAAAGAGGTACAGGACTACTTTTTTCAAGAGTTTTGCACAGTTGTTGTTTTCTTCTTTGTCTTCTTCTTCTTCTTCTTAAAGAAAGAGTCAGATATAATAAGCGTGGGGAGATGTTTCTCCTTACCTGGACTTGAGTGCTGCCGGTGATGTTGCTGCAGGAAATCGGTGGAGGTGTAGGTGGTTGAGGCAGAGCCCCTCGGATTTTCTCTATTTATACATCCCGCGGGGCTCCCGTGTTTGTCTCTATAAGGGGGGGGAAACAAAGTAAATAAACCCGAAGTGGAAATTTGCGATCTTTGTAAATGGTTTTCCTTCGCGAAATGCTTCGTTAGCCATGTTTGTCTTGCTAAATGGCATTTCTGGCGCGCGGCACTTAGCTGCTCGCTGCGTGCAAGGCGGACGGTGCCCGCAACTGCGCCACCTGTCTCTCAATTAGCCCCAAGTAACAGGGCAAATATTTAGTTTTTAGCTTGAATACGGTGCTCGGGCAAGCAGATGGCTAATAAGGAGCGTTTAGGTTAATGTGTCCTGATCACCTCCTGTGCTTGGAAGTAAAAGGGCGTAATACAAAACTGTTCGTTCTTGGGACACTTTGATGCGACGGGTCGTCATGTCAGTGTCGCTAATCAGTGATTGATCGCATTAGAAAGACGGCGACGCTGTCTGGCTTTGTTAATTAAGCATATTGGCGTCTGACACCAACCACTGCAAAACGACCCGTACTTTTGAGTCGTTTTTTAGTATAACCGAAAAAAAGCATATTTTAACAAAAATCCTTTCGAACTCAAGTGTGGCAAGAAATGCAACGTGTCATTAATATTACGAGATAACACATAGCAAAAGGTGTAAGGGAGAGTTGGACATTGAGGGGGACACAACATCAGTTTAAAGTAAAAGGTCTCTTTTTTTGGGGGGGGGGGGGTAATGAAGCCAAATTAAGTATTGCGGGGTGCACGTTCCTACGGCCCTGCACACAGATCTCACAGGTCTTAAGGCAGAATATGGAACATTATCCAATTAAGTAAATGTAGGCCCATTTCGATATAAAGGTCTGTCTCCTTCAATAACAGGTGAGAGAATGCTTAATTAATATAGCAGTAAAAAAAGAGCAGTAAACATTGTCCTGGATTGCCATGTTTCTATTTTTGTTTCAGCTCAAAAAGAGGAAATTTCCAAAACTCAGTCCATTTGTTGTTTTTGAGAAATACGGCAATGACCTAAAATCAGGCTTACTTATATGTTACAATGTTGGTAACCAAAACGCACTCGGTCCCCGTGTAATCCAATGAAGGACTTTGTTTAATTTACCAAAAAAATAAAAGTCCAATGAAATTGTCTCTCAGGCAAACCCCATGGACTGAGTGAGATTTGGAAATTCGCTCTTTAATTGTTGCTCGTCAGAGCGGGACTGTCTTGACCTGTTTTTGCAGCAGCATGCACAGCAGTGAAAAACATCTGCTTTATGTGCTAAGACTGCTGGGACAATGTATTTAAGGGTATTTGCTACTATTCTGCCAAGTATGGCACAGTAAATACCCAAAAAAAAAACAGCCCATAAAGCATCAAGAAATATATTTACAACTATTTCCCATGACATTACTCTGGATGAACCACCGTTATCTGATAAAAATGCGAATTATTGACTTTAAAATGTGTGTATCTCCATTCATGGGTGTAAAGTGCTTGTGTTAAAGTGTCTGAGAGAATGTATTTCATTTACGATATACACATTTTCATAATATTGTGCATTTTGTACTTAGATGAGCTGAGAAATATCAATAAATCGGAAACCTTTTATTCAGCATGTATAAGGAATTTGTTGAAGTGGTAGAGATTTAAACATTCAAGATAAAAAATACGCAAACATACATACACACAAAAATGAGTAAAAAAAAAAATGCGGGGAGAAGAGGTAGGTAATTCAGGTCCCGAAAGTAAAAAACCTGACCAAGATTTTGTTTCAACCAACCAGTTGAGCATAAGAGTCACAGTCACAGAGTACTCAACGGGGTGGTTGAAACAAAATCCCGGTCTGGACTTTTACTCTCTGTACCTGAATTACCCACCTTTGACAGGGAAAAATGGAGAATACGAAGACGTGCTATTATTAAACAAATAATCATGTAAGTACATATATGTGAATGAGGCGACACGATGAGGCGTAGGCCTATAAACCGTTTGGAGCACGTGCAAATAAGTTACGGAGTGCAAAACACAATGGGTGGAAAGGTGGCATTTCAGGGGACGTCATTTAGGGGGACGGCGACCTGGAGGAAGAAGCTGTCAGCCAGTCGTCCTTGTACTTGGGGCTCTTGGTCTCAGCTTCCGCTGCAAAGGGGGACACTGAGGAAGAGATGATCGGAGAGAGGGAGGTCAGATGTGATCCTAGAAAAGTACAGGACTTCAAGTGGGTTCTATAAAGTACTGTATAATAATGTAAAATGCACTTTATCACTACTGTATTTCATGTTGATAATGTTTTACCATATGTAACTACATGAAAATCATGTTATATAAGGGGTCTGAGGATGGCTTGCTATTGCGGTTTCGGTCTTGGAACGTACCACTCGCGAATACGGGGGGGGGGGGGGGGGGGGGGGGGGCTACTGTACTTCACAGAAAACTATTTTGTTATATTTACAGAATGATCTGATTTTGCCTTGTTCTGAAACGTTCAGATGGGAATATGGTGCAGTCTGTCTCAACTTTTGTGTATTATAGTTTTTTTAATTTGCTTGTCTGTTCAGCTGTTACCGTTTTGGTCCATGACTGCTTGTATGGATTCAAAACAAAGTTTTAAGAGGAAGAGCAAAGTTTCGAGCGGAAGAGTGATGCCCACGGGCTGGTGAATGATGACCGGGGAGGTCTCGCTCGTCTCGACGCTCCGTGCGATCAGCACTTTGGTCCTCGGGGCTCATTCTTCATGTCGCAAGCTCGGCGTCTCGTGGACTGATAGCGATAAGACGGGGTGGATGGAAGCAGCACAGCGTTCCTCCATTAAACATCCGGATGAGGATCCCGCCTGATTTACGGAGAGCAGCGTCCTACGCGCCGTTCCAGGATGTCACGCAGATTCCCGGTGTTGTGCACAGATCTGAGGGCTGCGGCGTGCGGATTAACTCCATGTTGCGCTCGTCAAACCAATTTGGTGCCGCGCGCAAATCCGTCCTAGCAGCAAAATAATAAAAAAGGCTACGGTGATGGTTTAGTCTCAATTAGTATTAATCAAGCCTCCTGAGGGACAGAGTTCCTCCAGATTACACTGGAAATGCACTCTGACTACAAAGACCCCTAAAATCACACACTTAGGGCTGCATATTTATTTATGCTTGTGCTGTACATGCACTTGTCTGGATGTTCAAAGTAAGGTGAATGATTGTCAGTTTGATAATATTAGTCGCCCGTTGCTCTGCAGTCAGTTGACTCTGCTCTCTGCGCCTATCATAGTGGTGGTGTTTGGCTCTGCGGGGTATGTGGCCTGTGCTTGCGAGGTCCCCAGATTGAGTGCTGTCGCACGCACAGTAATGTCACATCAGGCCCTTAAACCCTTAACTCCTAGTTGCTCCTGAGCGACATGGAAGTGAGACAAATAGCACAATACAAACATCCCTGTCGGCTGGGCTGAGTTTCCAGTGAAAGCCCATGTAGAGGTGTAAGCGGAACTGGAAACAGGATCTATACAGCAACTTCTAACAAAAGAAGACCCTGTTAAGACCATTTAAAGACTAGACCTGGATAATTATGCTAAATAAATTTAACGTAATGCACCGTTGGTCGATCCACCATTATTGGTTGAGTGTCTGGGGTCTGCCCCCCCCTAACCATGAGTCATTGATGTTCCCAGAAGGCCTGATGAGTCATTGCATGCTCATTGGCTGGGTCAGGAAGGCTCATGTAGCCTGCTGACCTGCGGGGGCAGACTTGTTCAGCTTCATGACCCCAGAGTGTGAAAAATCTGAGGCCGACTCTTTTAAAGTCACTGATAGCCATGATAGCCATAGGGCAGAGTTTGTTCTGAACAGATCGGACCCAGCAGGAACAGCTGCCTCTGCTGGGTTTATTTGTTTGTTTTTGTTCCTGTTCCTGTTCTGTCGTTTGTGTGACAATAGGACGCCCGTTTTAGGTTTTTCGGCTAAACCTGACAAACAAATTTAATATCCAGCTGAGATGAAATATTTAACACTGCGGCATTTGAATTCGCATTTGCATTCCTCCGTATGGGTACCGGCGGCTGACGGATGCTTACTGTCACTATGCCATCGAGCTGTTTGTCTGCGTATAACTTATTTTGCTAACTTGCGCATAATTGATGTGAAACCTTCATTTAACATTATCATAGATATACCTTTCTGTGAGAAATGTGATACCATGTAGCAAATTTCATGCAATATTGACATCTCTAATATGATTATACTGTGTTATATACGATGAAAGACAGATATTTCACTTAATTTTTAAAATATCTTTTGAAGGATATACAGTATCTGGTTTTTTTTTTTTCGTTTTATGGAAAAGTTAAGGGTATTTTCAAAGGCTTTATTTGTAGGCAGTGCAGTACCATCATAAGAATGCATTGTTATAGATTCATTACTTGTGATGGATGGATACATTTGTATCACTACTGCTGACGTGGGGATTTGCAGAAATTATTTCCTAACCGTGCCATTTGTCATTTGCCGGGTAATTGCATGTTGCTGTGGATTCTAACAGACTTTGCACAGCGGTTTCGCTTTCTCGTTCACGTGGTTGGAGTTCCGTGCCAATTGACAAACATTTCACTTAATGCTAAACTGGGGATGTAATATACATTCAGTATATATTTCGCTACTCATTTGTGTTACGCTCTGTAAGGTTTCACTGCACTGAATTTGAACTTGGTTGGGGGGGTGGTTTACGGAGAGTAAGCAGTGACATTCTCTGAAATGCACAGAGCTCACGGGAAACGTTGCAGAGAGTAACAGGCTGAAGCTGATTGGCTGGTGATAAGGAGCGTAAGGGTAACAGAACGTTTACCTGAGAGGGGGAGTGGAGAGTTTCTCGATTTGTTTGGCACTCAGATGCGGCATCTGTCACCAGCAGCAGATGTCAGAATTTTAACAGGAAATATCTCGAACGTAGCCTTAACCCTGGGGATACTTATGGGTGGATTCTTTTCTCTGTCCCCCCCCCACATGCCCCCATCAGGTATTATAAAGACTAAATAAATAGCTAGTGAGTAGAGTCAGAAGATCAAAGCTAGCTAGTTAGCATAACATGCTTCTTCACCATCTCCTAATTAAAGAATGTTTAATATTTAGTGCAGTAACTGTTTGTGGCCTACAGGGGGACCCCAAACCTTGGAGCCCCCGACGCGAAATGTGCGGTTTGCATGGTGGTAAACACCACTGC